ATGTAAATAAAAATAATATGCTTAACTCCATCAGTACTGAAATGCCATAGCTGAGAAATTAAGAATTGTCATACAAATAGAGCACTGAGAGACGTATAATTTCTATATGACACATGAAATTACCTTGAATTCTAAAAGGGAAAAAGTTAAATAACTATGAAAGTATGATTATAAATCCAGTACAACCTCATAAAAATTTAAACATACAGCTGCGAGGAATTTATTGTCAAAAAATAGATTTTGAGATGCTTAACATTATGCATGTATTTAAAAGTAAAAACTGAAAAATCAATAAAGAAAGTATTTTTAACTAATATACAAATGTGAAATGTACTATATGAAAATGTTTTAGAAACTTTCAAAATAACTTAAATCATATGAGAAATTTGGCAGTTTAAAAAAAAATACAAGAAAGAAGCTGAACTGCAGAGAAAAGAAGGGAGACAAAAGCCACACATCTTTATATGAATGCAAAAAATCGGAAGTTTGGATACCCTAGAATGTTAAATAATAACGTTTTAGCGAACACCGCTAAAGAGCCAAAAATGGCACCCCAAACCTGAATACAACCCTAAAGCGTGGCTACAATACGAGGCCCACGCTTGAACATGGCTGATGAGTCAACCTGTGTCTCTAGTAGCTGTAATATGATTGGCTTATTTTAACGAAGTTTCCCAACTCTCGAACGAAGGTTGCTTACCGTAAGGATTCCTCCGACGGTCGTTGTCACGAATGCCAATTTAACCAACAGTCCTTACGGTTACTGGAGCCGTGAAATTTAGCGGTCGTCCGTTAAGAGAAGATCGTTATTTACGCTCCTTGTCGTGAATAGGGCCCTAAGACGTATTAATAGATGGCGAAGCGGTAACTGTTTTTTCATTTGTAAATACTCATCACTGTATCTCCATCAATAACTAAATAAATGTGAGTCGTCAGCGTAGAAATCCCTTAGACGCCGAGTTTACATTTATATTTTCCATAATGTGGTAAATACCTACTTTCCACAGTGATGCCATTTTATATGTCATAACAAATTAAATTTACCTTCATTAAGGCCGAAAATATAGCCACTCTCCACAGTGTTGCCATTCGAAATGACATAACACCTTTAATTTACCTTTCAAATTAAAACTAGATAACAACTCGGTAAAGGATTTAAAAAAAGTATACTTCCTCATTTAAATTTAAATTATATCCTTTTAAAGATATATCTAATTGATATAATTTAAAGTGTGTTCAATTAAATTAATGTAAAACATATTTAATTTATAATTTAAGTAATCGATATGTTTTATAATCATTTATCACATTAAGACGTTTTCAGTGCCATACATTATTTATTTCCAAGCATAACAGTTTATGTTTATTTTTTGAACACTTTTAACCACTAGCAACTACTGCTGTTTGTTAAATCCTCATCCTTACTCATTACGAAATATTTTTCATTCAGTTTACCTTATTATTTATTCACATAAAAGTGCTGAGTAAAAGCATGATTTACAAACAAAAAAAAAAAAAAAACTGAATTATCCTTATCACATTCACGACAACACAACATTTTAGTCAAAGTGAATTGCACTGAAAATAAATTTTATTCAAAGATACACAACAACGTAAGTAGACATTTTCATAATAATACAAAAAGCAATTTGAAAACAATTCGAGTAATTTCAAAATATTCATGTATAAACAGTGGAAGACATTCTGTTTTGAATGTTCCGATCATCAGAAAATCGTCTGCTCTTATACGCAAGTTCTATTTACATGATAACTGCCATATAGTATGTATATTTAGAAATGATACAAAACCAACGCATACTTAACATATAGCTTAGTTGTACTAAATTGCAGAAAATATGATCATAATTCAGGCTATATTCTGAATGTGTTAATTCCAGTAATTACTGTATTCTTTTGAATTAAGTAACATTCATTTCTAAATTATTTCTTCAATTAAGACACTGTCGATTCTTAGAAGCATTCTTTAATTTCAGCATCATCAACAACAAAAACAAAAAAATACTTACAAATAAACGAAATAAAACGTTCAAATTCATCCAGCAGATATTTTTAAAGTAATCTACTTCGATTTACCAATAAGTAATATATATTTATTTAAACTATCAATTTATAAAAATTATTTACTATGAAATAATTATTTATTAGAAAAAACAACTGCGATTCTAGAAGCAATCTTTAATTTCAGTACTAACAATAAAAAGATTTTAATTTAAAAAAAATAAATGACATAAAACATTCAAATACATTTTGAAAATATTTTTAAATAATCGACATCAACAACAATAATAAAAATATTTAGAAATATTAGTAGCATCTGAATATTTAACAATTTAGAAAAATTTGGGATTTTAAGATGCTGCTGATTCTGAGAAGCAATTCTTAATGTGTACCAAGAAAAAAACATTTGTTTTGATTCTAAGCAAATAAAATAACACATTCAAATACCTCTCAAGCTTTTTTTTAAAATAATCTACACCTATGCGTCTATAACAATAGTGTATTTATTTAAATTACTATTTTGGGAAAATTAATTATTTCAAAATAATTAATAATCCGAAAAACATTGCTCTTCTTTGATGCCACTGATCAAATGATGCATCTCGTTTTCAGTAATGTATATGATTGGGAAAGTACGTCTTAGCATGAAAGAAGTACGGTATATAAAACAAGATCAAAAATGGAAATAAAACAACTAACTAATAAATTCTTGTGCACTTCATTTAACAGATGGATCTGCATGATTAGTTCAATTAATTAATTATTATCTGATTAATTACTAACTAATTAACTGAACTAGTAATTTATATTTCACTTTATTGCATTAATTAGTTATAATTAGCATAATTAAGCTAAAACGATATGCATGCTTTTAAAAAGCAATTGATGGATTTTTTTAGATCAATTAATTATTCATTATTTGATTAAATAATAATTAACTAACTGAATTATAACTCTCACCTTAAAGAATTGATAATTAGTTTAACTAATTCAAGCTCTTTAAAATACACACTCTGAAAAGCATCAAAATAACTTACTCGTTGAGTAATTATATTATAATAAACAAGTCAAACCTTAAAAATACAAATAAAACAAAGCCTAAATTTTTTCGAATCCGTATCCTAATTACAAGAATTGCGAGAAGGAAAAAAGTTTTCTTGGATCATAAAGTTCCAATTTAAAGCAAAATTTCAAATGCACAATTAATGGAATACAAATTTATATACTTTTTTAAAAATTTGCTTATATTTATCAAGAAAGTACAAGCGAAATTTAGGAAACAAAAACCGTAATTAACCTTTAAATCTTAAGGTTAATTCTCTCAATATAATTTGACCAAAAATATATGAAAATACACTTTTCTAGAAAATTTTGAAATCAAAAATGTGTAGAAAGGGAAGGAGAAAGATTATTTCAAGAGTTAACATAACATAAACGCTAAGTATTGAATGTTAAACTAGGATAAATTATGAAAGGTTCAAAATCATGAGAACTTCTATTACAAGTCAATAATACTAATCTTTTTAAAGTTTTCAGTTAAATTACTGAACAATTTTTTAGGTTAGGATTTGGAAGGTTCGAGTTTTCAAATCTCGAATCTTGATTCAGATGTTCCATTTTTAGTCAAAAGCATACAGAATGAATATTCTTTTTTTTTTAGTTTATTTGATAGTGAATAGACATTGTAAGATTTTTATGAAACAAATTATTTAGTCTGATTAGAATTGTAAAATGGCGATTTGATTTTTTTTCAAACGTTCTTACAACATTAAATATTAAAATTAATGAAATTAGAATTTGTAGCTTCTTGCTAAAAAGATAGTTTATTAGAAGGAAGAAAAACGTCACAGAATTTTGATCTTCACAGAAGCTGTTTAAACTCATAAATTAACTGTTTAAACTCACAATCCATTGAAAAAACAGATACTGCAAGCTATTAAAACTGGTTTAATAAAACAAATATTTATTCTATAATATATAAAAATAGATTAAATAATATTTTAGCTTATTTATAACTTAAACACACAGATTTTAATTGTAAAAAGACTTAATTTATATAATGGCAACTAGGCCAATTCTTTCCTATTCCAATACATTTATTTGAACATTATTAATTAAAATATTTGTTCATTTTTCTCAAATCTAAGATTAAAAGGGATTATGATTAGTACGATGCGATCACAAAGCAAAAATATTTTAGGGTTTTTATGCACTCAATTACGCAGAATATAGTTTTATTTATTAGTAAATTCTTTATATAAACACAATATTTTTCGATTATTTTATTCTTCATTTATTTTTTAAAAATATTCAAAAATGTTTTGTAAAAATGTTTATTAATTAATAATTTTATTAAAATTTTACAAAGAAATACTCAAGGAATATAATAAAAAAATTTCTTAATTTATAAAAATTCCTTATAAAAACTTTATAAAATATTCAATACATATTTTTACAAAATATACTCTATAACTTTCTAATTAACTAGTAAAGCATATCCTAATACATTTTTTAGACAATTAACTTAGAGTAATTTTGGATATAAATCTTATAGTTAAAAAAGAAATCACTTGATATTTCTAAAAATGGTTTTGATTATTTGCGATATTGTAATTAAACCATTCATCCTTTTACAATTGCATGAAGAAGTTATAATTACTTATTATTTAAAAAATGATTTTGATTATGTAATTAAAAATTTGCTTGCAATACTCAAATTATTATCAATATTAATTAAAATTACATCACAATCTTGCAATAAAAACTATTATTTTTAAAATTATTTTGATCATTTGATTTAATAATTAGTTTGCTTTTAACAATTTAATCATTATTAATTAGAATTACATTATAATTTTTAAAAAAAATTCAAATAAATTTCATTATTTGCATTTTGTTATAAAATAGTTTGCTACTAATTCTTCAATTATTATTATTATTAATAAAGAAATTTAAAATATAATTAAAATTATTATTATTATTACAAATTATAACCTTACCATGTGTCATTTTGTTCTTTATTTTGTTTTAAGTTTGATTTTAAAATGCTGATATAATAATAGCAAAACATCTAATAATTATGTTAAATATTATAATTGTTAATAATAGTTACGTTATGCTCGGTTTTTCTACAGCTAAAGCATTTATATGAAAAAGGTTGAAAAATATCTTTTAACTGGGAAATTTACCAAATTTTTAACTGTATAATGAAAAGAATATTCCTTTGTTTATTAATCAAAAACTCATCCACCCTGTGATTTGCACACACTATAATTTTAGCAATTACTTTTGTTTACTGTAAAAATTACTTTACCAAACTACCATTCATTAATATAAAACTGATAAATGCTGTGGTAGGGCTGTATTTTGGACTAGGCATCTTGCAGGAACAGCCCAAAAGTACAATATTTTCAACATAAGAAAATATCTTCAAGTAAAAAAGAAGTTTTCATTGTAAAATAATTATATAAAAATGTGTGAATTTATAACTACTTTCTCTAATAAAACTGTTATACATTTATAAAAAAAAATAACAAAGAAAATATATCTATAGATAAAACAGCTTTGAAAATTCTTTCCTGAGTATTATGAAGAGGTATATATATACACATATAAATCTGTAAGAAAAACTGAACATTTCAGTTTCAGTTTCTTTCAAGATTACTTTTAAAAGATTTAAAAAAATTAAAATATTTAATTCTTCAGAAACAATTACTTTTGCCCATTCCATTTAGAAAATCAGAGCAGTACATCTAACACTAAAGATATTTACAAAACAGTACACATATTACAGGGACCTCCCTTATAAAATAAAGGAAAAAGAATTTACCAAAATTATAAGTAGATAGAAAAATTCTCTTTACAAAATTATTTAGAATGAATATACAACGGTTCTTGAAATTGTAAAATTTTGAACTTCTACAAATAAAAGCAATTTAAAAAATTGGAAAAGTTTTCATATAATATAAATTTATATCCTTCAATTTTATTAAAACTATATTATTTTGATCATTTTGAAGCATTAGATAATAGATTCAAGAAAAGATTGTTCTCTAAAGCAACATATATACAAAGAAAATGGCAACTAAAAGGTCATTAAGGTATAACTAAATCCACATTTTATAATAAGCTTATACATGGTTATGTTTGTAAATCATAATATAGAGTGGCCATAAAATCTTTCTCATTTTACAAAAATTAATTAAAGAGTATTAAGCATAAAATGTCTGTAGAAATATCACAAAAGCAATCAAATATAATTTTTTTCTCATTGATATGATGCCAGTCAGAGAACCCTTCTAATTTTATTTTGTACCCTTGGTAAAATATGTTTCTAAACATGGTGTAGATTTTTCTAGCATTTTCAAATCACACTAAGTAATAAATATTTTAATCATTACATTTTAATAAAGATATTTTATCATTACATGTATTATTTATTACATCATTTAGGAATGCAGAATCAGTAGCACAATGTTTTTTGGACATGCTATAACACTTTGCAGCATCTTATCGTGTGCAATGTCTAAGATGCCATGTAATGTATATTTAAATATGCTGAAGCTTTTTGAAGTACCTTAGCTTTCACATAGCCCACATGTAATATATATCTGGAATACTAAAACTCTTGCAGTGCCATTTGCATAATATTCGTGGTAAAATGTAATGTGCATTTGAAATGCTGGAACTTTTAGTGACAACTTACTTTGTAAGGCACTCAAGGTATTATGTAATATGCATTTATACATGCTGAGTTCTTTGCAGCGTCTTATACTGTGCAATGTCCATAGTACCACATAATGTGTATTTAAACATGTTGGAGTTCTTCATAGCAACTTATCTTGCAAGATGCCATTAATACTAACAATGCATATTTGGTATGCTGAAACTCTTTGTAGTGCCTTACTTTACATGGTACCATGGTATCACATAATGTGCATTTGGAACTCTTTTTGGCAAATTACTTATTGAATGCCATAGCAGCATTAGACACTCTAATTAGAGACGTTTGGTTAGACAAAACATGAAACTAAATATTACACACATATGTAGTGGTTATTATAGTTAATTATAGTTAAATTAAACATTCTTTGTATTTTCAGCGGATGCTTACCAGAAATGGAAAATATTTACTTAAGCACCTTTACTGTGTTCAGGTTTTTTAACTCTTAACAGATATTTCCCAGTAAACTTTTGTAATGTGGAAGAATTTATGGCCACTCTTTTGTTTTAATCTACTAAGCATCGAGATATGAGCAATAGTGCACATTCAGAAGATCTGCTGCTCTCATCTCCACAGACTTCACATTTGACATTCCATAAGTTCATTTGCAGTTGATACTGCAAACGTCTTGTTAAAGAATATTTCAAATAACACATATTTCTATATTGTTCATACATCTGGCCACAACTTTGAACAAAAGAAACGTTTCAAAGAAATATTTGATCTGGATCTTCAAAAATTAAGTGACATTTAGAACACATCAGCTAAATGAGCAATATCTAAGCAAAAAAAATCTTTTTTTAAGCACAGTTTTGCTTCTACTGTAGATGGAAAGGAGGTTGCAAACAGTTCAACTCAATTCAACATTGACTGCAATGCCACTACAAGGTTTTATTCGGTGTTATTCAATTGGCTAAGGCCCAAGAAATTGCTATGCATGAAGGGATGAAGGTTCTGGTTATCTAAGATTGCACATCCATGTGTAGGACAATATCTTCAGAAATAACGAAATTCACCTTTTTTGCCCTGTCTTTCTCGCCTGACCCAATCGGCCGGTGCCGGTTGAATCGGTATGACTGGTGTTGGTCTGTGAGGCGAAGTTGGCTCTTTGTGCCCATTTTCGCTGGCCGGCTTTGTCACGATGGCTTCGCTCTGCAAGAATTTGAACATAAAATCAAAATTAGTGTTTGACAGATATTTAACACAGAAGTGCAGAAACAGAAATTAAAAATTTTTTGCAGAACATGTCTAGACCCAGTTATTGTCTGAGCACAGAGACTGATGCAAATGGGATACTACATTTACAAACAGCACATTAGAGTAAAACGTTATTATGCTTTGAGTACATCTGACGACAGAGTTTCGTCATGCACTTGTTTCGCGTAAGTTACGGATGACGAATTTTAATTCGTCATTCAAACTAGGACAAAATTAAACATGTACATTTTTGTTCATTACAAGAGTTATTTGTAACAGTTGTAAGAGAATGCTTCTTCCAATGCTTCAGAGCAGGTTGTTCATGATAGACTGCCCCAAATTGTCAGAAATAAGCAATACAGTACAAAGTCCGTAATCCGGACATCCATTACCCGGAATGATTTATAATCCGGACCTTAAAGCCATGAACTTATGCATGCGCGTTTGATGCGCGCGTCCGCTATGCATGCGTGTAAAGCCAGTAAGGCGTTTACACATGCGTGCTTCCGATAGTGAAGAAAGTGACAGAGAACGAAAACAAAATGTTATTATTGAATGTTATTGTTATTGAAAACGGAAAAATTTCGATTGACAAGTTAGTCGGTATTCTCGACACAGCAATTACAGGATTTGAACAGTGGAACTTTGTAACTGAACAAGAAATTATGTCTGTTTACAGAAGAGAGAATTAAAGAGAAAGTATTAGCACAGAAAACGAAGCAACTTAAACAACTTACATTGAAAGAAATGTTTAATAAAATAAACAAATAAATATTAAGCTTTTTTTTTTTTTTTTTTTTTTTTTTTTTTTTTTTTTTTTTTTGTAAATTTTGATACTCTTTAGATCTTAATTGCTCTTTATTTCATAAATTACGGTTTCATATTTTTAATTGTATAATTTCTGCATGCCATCATACCAGATTTAAATTGATGATCTATAATTCGGAAAAACCCTAATCCGGAATCGCCGAAGTCCCGACAAGTCCGGATTACGGACTTTGCACTATATATCTTACGAAAGTGATAACAAAGGTTTCAATGAAAGAGAAAACTAAGAAATTTGATGACGATGATGACTATAGTGAATTACAATATAAGGTATCTCTCCCACCTTCTTAGCATGCCTTCGTGGTATAATGGTCAGCATATTCGGCATGTATTCGAGAGGTTCGAGGTTTGAGTCATTGCTCATTTTTCATCTCTCCTGCTTTCAAAAAATACCTAATGTGTCTACAGTGGTGCCCGAACTAAAAAAATGTGGTGGACTATGATTCTCCACCACCAGGATTTGGCGATTAATTCCCCTAATCTCCAGTCGCGCTTTAAAAGGGGGGCATATAAGGTATTTCTCCTGCTTTCTTAGCATGCCTCCGTGGTGTAATGGTCACCACACTCGCCGCGTATTCGAGAGGTCCAAGTCCTGGCAAGGGCATTGCTCATTTTATCTCACCTACTTCAAAAAAATACCTAATGTCTCCACAACAAGAAGAAAATTTCGAAGACAATAGCGAACTAGAAAGTGATGATGATTGCGAAATATTACCGAGATTTCAAAGACATACCAGACACTCTTATCGAGCAGTTTTAGTGAATATTCTAGTGAAGAATTGCCAGGAGAATGGATTTTCAAGAACAAAGAAACTCTCATTAATGTAAAGCGGTTTTGTGCAATACCTGGGATCAATTCTATTGTCTGCGTAGACTAGCTGAAAATTTTAAGGCTTTAAAATGTTTTGAAAGAAATCCTGAATGAAGATTTTTGGGATATTATAGTAGAACAGACAAATGAATAAATGAATTTTAAAATAAATAAATAAACAAATAAATTCTCTAATAAATGCACTCATACAAAACCTACTACCTTTATATACTATTCCGCACATCAGCAAATTCAATCCATTCCAAACGTAAGAATGTTTTCAAATACATCTGTATCCAAGACGTTTATGGAAAACCAGAACATTTTTGTTTATGCAATACAGTATTTTTTTAAAAACGAAAGAACACGTTTTAAAGTCTTGTTTCACTGTTCTCAAACATCTTCACAGCAAGATTCACTGATCACTTGAAAGAGTATTATTTCTAACTTTTAAATGGCTGTAAGCAGGATGCTGTATCACAGCTTTGGATGTGGCATTCTTCCTTGACGCTAAGTGGTATTTATTAAGAAGACACAAATAAAATTTAATAAATAAAGTACTTAATTAAAACTATTGTACCTTCAGGTTGATTTATCTTGACACAAAACATTTGAATAATATCTGAATTTTTTATATCTTTTAAAATCTTATTAATGAAGGCAGTTGCATATAGAGGGAGGATTATTTCAAGAACTAACACAGATAAATATGTTAAATTGGAAAATTAAGAATATAAGGCCCAGGGCAAAAATAGGGTGATACTAGTAATGAAGGTTCAATTAAATTTCAACAATAGTCTTCCTAATACAAAACTACTACTTTTCGAAAGTTTTGAGCTAAAATGTTTGACTTTATTAAATGACTTCATAAGGCCAACGAAACGTATAAAAGAATGTTCCTTACATTAGCATAGGAGCCATTTGTTCGGACGGAATAAATTGGATTATGAAATTCGTCTTCATCGCTGACAGGACCCACTATGGTATGTGGAACATGGGCAACCTGTCCTTTGGAATTCTTGGCCTTCCACCATTTTCGGCTGTCATCTAACACCTATCAGGAAAATATAAATTCAGAAATAAATATATACATAATGCTTGAAAGCTATAATACAAGAGTACAGAAGACTGAAATTTAATTACAGTGGATATTTTTATAAGATTCATCTAGTTCAAACAGTAATTGCTATGTTACGCTTTTTATAACTTTTTGATTTTGAAGCCACATTACCAATTACGTTTTACGATACCAAAAACACTTTCTTTTTTGAATTTTGGTGAACTTTATTAAAACTATGTAAATTTTTTCCTGAAATGACAAACTATTTTCTTCCATATTTCAATTCCACGATTCAAATTACGCCAACCTGCCAAGTTTTGTAAAATTCACAAGAGTAGTTTCTAAAAAAATTAACTCTCAGAATTTTAGCTCCTCAATATTAATTGTGTATAGCATATATTTATTAATAATAAATTTGCATTTTTAGTGAATTTTAAAAATTTTTCAAAAACATTTTTTATTTATAACTCATATAACTTTTACTGTCCTCAAAGATTTGTTTGTTTGTTTGAAGTGTTAAGTATTGATTGTGCTGTGTGATGCTGAGAAGAGTTGTACGAGTATATTTGTGGAAAGTTCGAGAACTGTAAAGTGTTTCTTTTGGTTAAAAAAAAATTATCAAGCTATCATTGGTTATGTGTGCATTCAAACCATTACGAACCAGTAGGTGAGCAACAATATTATCAAACACGCGTACCTCTAAGTATTCGCCTCTGAGGACTGTCAGTTCCTTGTCGTTGTTAGCCGTCCTAGGATACATGACTTGGACCACGTGTGCTCCTTTTTGTCTCAGCTCCTCCAGGAACTGCTTCTGGTGGTGTTCGAACTGTAACTGAGGATCGGACACGACGCGGTCGATGGAATCTGCGCTGAAATCGGACCTCATGTCCCTCTCTCTGGTATCGTGGAATTCTCTATCTGAAACCGGTGTCGCTGCATCGTTCCTAAAATTATAAGCGATAGGTTATTTGTTAAATTCCTTATTTCTGTAATTTCAAGACAGTAAAAAAGAATTTCAAACAATTATATGAAAACTTTAAAAGACTTTCTAAAACGAATAGTTAGCAATTTTAAAGAGCAAAAAAGGAATTCCTAAAATGTTTAATGCTTTCATTGAGGATTTTCAAAAAGACAGTAGGTTGCAGTTGCGTTAGAGATGAGGAAACGGCGAAAACTTTCATGCAGCCAGACTATTTTAACAGGGATCCAACTACCAATGAATCATTTTACCACTCAACTGTTGACGGATCCCAGTGTGGTCAAAGGTATAATTTGGTTATATGTTTCTTCGTATGGGAAAATATTTGTAACTGCATGTTTTAATTTAATTTTATTTATGTGTTTGTTATTTTGTTGTGCCGGGAAATCCTCATAGACATTTTCTAATTATGTACTAATTGTGACTAATGGCAGTACTAATGATAAAATTTAGCTTTATCTGTCCATTTCATACAGGATTCATTATTCGCACTGGAACACAGTCTTTCACAAGGTGTTCTAAAGCACAGTCTATGAGATGCGTACTTAAGCAAGTAGTAAAGTACAATTTTTAGAATGTGCATTGTTGAAATCAAGGGTCAAAACAATATTGTTTAAGTATTAAAAAAATTACCTCCTTACATTTTATAATAATACAGTTACAAGTATTAAATAATATTAACAAATACACTTTTTTATCCTTTTCCAAAATACTCATAGAAGTTTAAGTACATGGAAATCAGAAATCTGTTAGTTTGGTACATTTATCTTTACCATATTGGCAACACCAAGTTCTCTTTCTCTGTGTGTGAGCCATGAATGCTGTTGTAATGTTGTGCATGTGTTGTTAAGTTTCAATAAAAAATGTGAAAAGATACGTTTCTTATTTTTCGACTTTCTTCTTCATATGATATCGATTTATTTAACATGGTAGCAGTTCTCGTGGTTTGTGAATATGAATGAAGAATTTAGTAGTTATAATTTGTTTTAAAAGTTACCGGTACTAGCGTAAAAATGGCATGTACAAGAAGCAGCGATATCGGCATACCGTTATTTGATGGTTCGGACTATTTTAATTGGAAAGTGCGTATGATGAAATTTCTTCAATTTAAAAAGTGTAAAGATGTGGTTCAGCGAAAAGTCAGTGAAAACGATGACGTGGAAAAATGGGAAGAAAAGTATATCCAAGCTACAAATTACATTTACGGCGCCATAACAAACAAGCAATTGGAATACATTCACGAGTGTGAGACTGCATTTGATATAATTACGAAATTTGATGCAATGTATTTAAAAACTTCAAAATTTAACAGGGAAGACTATCTACAAATTGTTTGTAGAAATAACTTAGAATGTGTTAAACTGAAAAGTTATCCTGATGTAAATATATTTTTCGATGATTTTGAGAAGTATGTGAACGAACTGAAACATGCCAGCGCCACCGTAACGGAACAAGAAAAATTGAACTATATGCTAAGAGCATTACCTTCAAATTACAGTCACATTGATGCAATGTATTTAAAAACTTCAAAATTTAACAGGGAAGACTATCTACAAATTGTTTGTAGAAATAACTTAGAATGTGTTAAACTGAAAAGTTATCCTGATGTAAATATATTTTTCGATGATTTTGAGAAGTATGTGAACGAACTGAAACATGCCAGCGCCACCGTAACGGAACAAGAAAAATTGAACTATATGCTAAGAGCATTACCTTCAAATTACAGTCACATTGGTGACTTAATAGATGTATTACCAGAGAAAGACAGAACAGTCGAGTACCTAAAGAGCAAAATCAAATCAAAATTACTTGAAGAGAAAAATGATTATGAAGATTGTGCACCAGCAGAAAAATCAAATGTGTTCAAAATTGAAACAAGCAAATCGGGTCCACAAGGGAATGTCTGTTATAATTGTGGAAAACCTGGTCACATTAAAAAGAATTGTTGGCATGTCCATCAAAGGAACTATCGTGGTAATGGCTCCACTAATTATCGTGGTCGAAGTTCTTCAAACAATCGAGGACGTAGTTGTGCTTTTAGTGGACATCGTGAACGTGGAGCATACTCTAACCAGAGAATAAACACTCATCAAGGCAATAGTTTTCACACCACTGTTATTGAAAGTAACATGACAAGTTCCAGTGCAAATACTGTGACGAATAAAAATGAAATCGATTGGTTACTGGATAGCGGATGCACAGACCACATTATAAACAGTGATGAATATTTCAAAGAGCAAGTCACTTTGAAGGATCCTATTCAAGTGAAAGTCGGTGACGGAAGGATTTTGAAAGCTACAAAGGTTGGCAATATAATAGTTTCTTTTCTTATATATAACTCTGAATCTATCGTAACATTGATGAATGTATTTTATGTAAAAGAAATGAAAGCAAATTTATTAAGTTATTCGAAGATTACTGATAATCATAAAATAGTTTCAAAAGAAAAGTTTCTCTAAAATATATGATGTCAATGGTTCATTAGTAGCAATAGCAAGAAAGAAGAAAGATATATATAAAGTAAAGAGTTATGTTAAAAATAGTAAAATATTTGCAAATTTGACCAACAATAAGTTAACGTTAAAAGAAAAATTGCACCGTTCATTTGGACATGTAAATTTTAAATATCTGGATATTATGTGCAAAGATCAGCTATTAGAAGGAATCCCTAAAGAAATAGAAACCGAATATATGAAGTGTGCCATATGTATTGAAAATAAAATGCACAATTTACCATTCAAGAATAATAGAAGAAAAGCAGAAGATATTCTGGAGATTATACATACAGATGTAAATGGACCTCACAGAACAAGTGGATGTAATGGTGAGAAATACTTTGTGAGTTTTATTGATGATTATAGCAAGTTGGCAAAAATTTATTGTATCAAATCTAAGGATCAAGTCTCTGATTGCTTAATTGAATATGTAAATGAAATTCAAAATTTAACAGGGAAGACTATCAAAGAACTAAGATGTGATAATGGTAGTGAATATATGAATAGCAAGATATACAAATTTGCAAGAGAAAAAGGTTTCAAGATAAAGTCATGCCCACCATATGTACACACGAATTAAATGGTACTGCTGAGCGTTACAACAGAACTATAATGGATATGGCAAGATGTCTTTTAGCCGAAGCAAAAGTTGACAGACGTTACTGGCCTGAAGTAATTAAAGCTGCTGCTTATTTGAAAAACAGGACATTAACAAATACTATTGTAAAGAAGACACCATATGAAATATTTTTCAATAGGAAACCATCTGCTAATGAATTGAAATTATACGGAAGTAGAGTGTATGTAAGAATACCAGAAGAAAAGAGAAAGTCGAAGTGGGATAAAAAGGCTGAATTTGGAATTTTACTTGGGTATACAGAAGTTGGATATAGAGTTTTGATGAATAACAGAATAATAGTTGCCAGACATGTTGACATTATTGAAGAAGACATAATGTGTGTAGGTTGTGATGATGAAGATAAGAATGATGATACAAATAAAAAGAATGATCCTCAAGAAGTGTGTGAATCGAGGGGTAATGATAACTCCAAGGACAGTATGATAAATGAAGATGAAACAAAAAGTGGAATGAGACCAAGAAGGCAAATCAAACCACCAGTTCGATTTCATGAAGAATTCGGGTACTACTGTGTTAGTGCAAATTTTTGTGATGCTACAGTTCCAGGTAACTTTGAGGAGGCGACAACATGCAGTGAGGCTGGACATTGGAAAGAGGCAATGGACAGTGAAATGAACAGTCTTGTTAAAAATAACACTTGGACACTAGTGACTAAACCAGAGGATAAAGCAATTCTAGATGTGAAGTGGGTATTCAAAAGAAAACCAGGTAATGTTTTTAAAGCTAGATTAGTGGTTTCGAGGTTTCCAGCAAAAAGATAGTATTGAGGACACTTACTCCCCTGTCATTCAAGATGCAAACCTTAAAATTGTTACTTTCATATTCCTGTCAGTATAATTTAAATATTCATCAAATGGATGTTGAGACTGACTGCCTTTTTAAATGGTTATGTTGTTGTGTCTGAGGTTTATGTTAAACAACCACAAGGCTATAATGATAATTCGAATAGAGTGTATAAATTAAAGAAAGCACTACATGGGTTGAAAGAAAGCCCTCGTGCTTGGTATGAGTGTTTTAACGAGTATATTGAGAGTCTAGGATTTCGTAGAACCAAGTAAATATGATTATTGTCTTTATGTAAAATCTGAAAATGATGTATTTGTATATATTCTTTTATTTGCTGATGATTTGTTAATATGTTGCAGAGATAATCAGATAATTAATGATATTAAGGAACAACTACATAATAAATTTAAAATGAAGGATTTAAATAAAGTAAAAAGCTACATTGGAATTGATACTGAATATGATAATGAGAAAAGTAATATCTTAACACTGAGTCAGGAAAATTATATTGAATCTTTAGCTAAACTGTATGGTATTGAAAATTCAAAGCTTTATGATACACCAATGGAGACTAATCTTAAACTAAGCCAATCTAATTTAAATCAAAATGTCAAATATAGAAATCTAATAGGAGCACTCTTGTATATTAGTCATGGTACTAGACCAGACATATCTTTCAGCGTAAATTATTTAAGTAGATTTCAAAATTGTTATGATGAGACACATTTCAAATACGCTTTGAGAGTTTTAAAGTATTTGTACTTAACAAAACATCTAAAATTAACCTATAGTAAAAATCTTAAAACTGATATTATGAATTGTTATGTTGATGCTGATTGGGCAGGTGATATTGTTGACAGAAAGTCAACTACTGGGTTTGTTATTGAATTATTTGGTAATCAAATTTACTGGAAATCCAAAAAAGCAAAATTATGTGACAAAATCTTCCACTTTTGCCGAATATACTGCTCTGAGGCTGTGACAGAAATTAATTTCTTGAAAAATGTTGTGAATGATGTTTTTGCTGATATAACTCACCCCATTAAAATTTATGAAGATAATTCAGGAGCTTTTGCCATTGCTAATTATGGGAACTTCACTAAAAATTCAAAACACATAGAAGTTCAATATCATTATGTTCACGAAAATGTTCAAAATGGAGTAATTGAAATTGTAAAGATTGATTCAGAATCAAATATTGCAGATATCTTTACTAAGTCCTTAGGAAAGATTAAATTTATGAAATTTAGAGAAGGTTTGAAATTGAAATAAATTTTGTATACTGTTTATTTAAGTGATCTCTATAAGAGTGCGCGTAGCTTTATAGCGAAACACGAAAGCCGAATTAAAGCTTTTAGAGGCCTTAAGCACTTAAAAGATTCTGGTGCCAGCACATACGTTTACACCAGCCCCCCCCACTCCATCTCTCTCATTTTTGCTTTAACTGCATCACACATTCCAAGGCAAAATCAGCAATGAGAAATTTTTGGTGCCCCCTTTCTTCGATACCCTAACCATGTATTTGTTTTGCATAATGGTTAAGCCAGCTCTGTGGAGCACACTTACAAAAGTTTCTGTCTTTCTCAATTGAATCCGACTCGTATTAGGATACCACCACCTTTATAATGAGGCATTGTTATGATTGCTTCCTTTGCTACGAATGTATGGCTTTGCCATGATTGCTGTTATTTAAGCTATTTTCTCCTTCTTTTCGTAAGATTAATATTTAAATTAACCAGTTATTATGAGTTTGGTCTTTACTATAACTTCTACTTTCCTTATTTCTTACCAGAATGGAAATGAGTTAGTGTTTAAAACCAAGGTTTTCAGATTTTAATATACAGCGTGTTTCTGGCTTCAAAAGCCCGTGTTACTTGTTACTTTCCTGCCAGCTCTGATAGCTGTAATTATTCGACTCTGCGCTCTACTGCTGCTGACACTTTGTTTTTTAACACTCCAGCAGAGCCAGCTTATAGTAATATTTAATTGTGTAGTTTTTTTACTTGTGTCCTATGTTTGATTTAAATTTGACTGTCTGTTTAAATGCATCACCATAAGCTGCGGCTGATATTGTTAGCTCAAGAAAGTGCATTTATGTTCTAAATTCAGTTTACATAAAAAGGTTATTTAAACCTTCTCACGACTTTATAGCTGCTACAGGTATAACGATAATTCGGTTTTACATCCGTCAGGGTTTTTCGACTAGCGTTGCCTACACCATTGGTGCCCAACCTTTGGCCAATCACGAGCCCATTTTGGTCTATCGCGAGCACATTTTCAAAACATCAACATTTTTGTTAAACATATTTCCAATCTTATATGATACTTCTTGAAATATTAATTTCGGCAAATGGGTTTGAGATGAATAATAATATTGGTTGAATAATAAATGATAATAATTGGTTGAGATAATAAATGATAATAATTGGTTGAATTTTATGGAAATCAGAGAAGTGGAGTTCAAAATTATTTCTCAGTGTATTTAGGTTTTCCTAGTATTTCTCTGTTTCAATTGCCTAGTGGTTTTTAATATGGCTTGTTAAATTCTGAAAATGTGTGCAATTTTTTTCTTTCATTTGATTTATCCACAAATTTAACTTTATCTGGAAAGCAGTTACAGTCCCAGTCAATTGAAAAAGGGATCTTTCTTTTCCCTGGAGATCTTCGTTCAGTTTAGCTGTTATATCAGTTCAGTTTAGCTGTTATCCGTGAGAAAATACAGATAGGATAACCAATTATTATCGTCCAATTCTTTATAACTTTCGTTTCCGGATTCCAAAAGCTGCTTTATTGGCGAAAGAAGTTGTACAAATCGTTGAAGTATTTTCCTCCTGCTGAGCTATCAACATGAAGCAATAAGATTCCATGTTCATTATCAAGTTCATCAGTCAGCAATCAATTATTTTATAACGTCTTGCAAGATATCGCTTATGACTATAAATGCTTACCCTACTTTAACAATTGAGAAATATAAATGAATGGTTATTTAAAAAATATTTTTTGTTCATAGTACCAAATCAGGCTGGCGAGCATATACAAAACGACTGGCGAGCACAAGGTTGGGCACTGCTGCCCTACACAATAAATAAACAAATTTTTTAAAACGGGATGGTTATTTCGCAACAGTTAAATTAACCCTCCTCCCCGGTTAATAGTAAGTTGCCTGCAGAAGCATAAATTAACATGCAAGGCATATATTAAGTATAAACTATACCTGCTTTTTGAATTGATTAATAAAATGAATGGCATATTTAAGTAAAAACTATACCTACATTCTAATACATAAATAAAATGGAAAACGTGATATGTATTTTAAATACCTTTCATATAAATCTCTTCTGGGTACTTCGATTGGCTGGGTATCGTAAAATCTGTTCTCGAAATTGGAATGGGGAGCTTCGGAATGCCCCGGAGAAACAGGTCGGTCCTTCTCGCCCCGTTCACTGTAATAGTATTCGCTGCCATAACGACTTTCCCTGTCCTGGCGAGACGAGACTCTGAAGTCTTGGGCGCGTACGTCAGCCTGAAAAGAAATTTCTTAATAATAAATAAACATTTCTTAAAGTGAAATATAAAAGATTAAAATGAAAAATGTTCTAAAATAACATTCAGGGTTTAGTTAGAAGGTATTTTTCGACGCAGAGCAGAAAAGATGCATATACTCTAGAGCAAAAATAAAGCAATATCCAGACTCTTAAGATCACACAATTCCAGCAATTAAGCACACAATTAAGCACAACTCCAGATATCCAGACTCTTAAGATCTTCTGTCCATATAGACAATTGAATAGCCAAGACAAATGAGTTATGTACTTACTACAATGCAACTATGAAATTTGGCTTGTTATGCACTATTGTTAGAACTTTTATACTAAAATACTCCAAAAAATTTTGTCATTAATTTAGAAGTCAAATAACAAAAATCAGCGTTATGTTTTAAAATTTTCACAGGACTCATTTTGATGGTTTTACCGAACCATCATCCTCAGCTGCAAAAACACAAATGAACGAGATAAGATATAACAATTAGATAAGATAAGAAAGCCTGGACAGGAGATAAGCCACTGGCGCCATCTGTTGATGAAACCAGAACTAAAACATAATTTCTTTAAAGGCTGAAGGCAAAAATGGATTGGAATTAGGGTCATTAATTAAAAGATTTTTTTGAATGTGAAATGACTCTAGAAAATCCAGTTCACCAATGGAAGATATTTTTTGAATAATTTTGGAAGCAGAAAAATTGAAAGTGTGATTTTCGGACCAACAATGTTGAGCAACAGAAGACTTCTGTGTTTCCTTTTTTCTAAAATATGCCTCATGTTCCTTGACGTGAAATTTTAAGGCTCTCTTAGTTTTGCCAATGTAAATTTAACCACACTGGCAAGGAATCCTGTAAATACCCCAGGAATTCATATCTGGAATGGGGTTCTTGAGTATGGAACTCGGAATTTTATTGATGGGAGAATAAACGATCCGAAAGTTAAATTTCTGCAAAATATGTGCAACTTTATAGCTAACTGATGGATGAGAACTTTTTAACTGCTTGATTAATAATGTTGGGTGAAAAGCCTTTGTCAATAGCTATTGCTTTTAAATAATTTAGTTCTTCATCAAGGGATAGTTTGGAGGAACAAACTTGAAGAGCACGGAAAACATAGGAATAAAATGAAGCTAAACTTTGTTTAGTCGGATGACATGATTTGAAGTGTGGTGGAAGGCAAACCGATGAAGGTTTACGGTACACCGTAGTACTGAAGTTGGATGTGTTACGTGTGACCAGAATGTCACGAAACAGAAGATAATTGCAAGTCTGAAGTTCAAAAGTGAACTGAATAGCAGGATGAACAATTGTTATTTGACTTCTAAATTAATATTTGTTCGGCGTGTTATTGTATCTTAATTTTGGCATTATCAAGTGAGAATAAATAGCTTTACCTCTTCGTGATGACGACCCTCTTCTCTGCGAAGCTTCTGCGCCAGAGCTGCTGCAGCTGCAGCCGTAGCCTCCGCCCTTTCCCTCTCTTCTGAGAAAGGGTTCTCCGGAGCCCAACCATCGGAGAAAACAGGATGGTAGCTACCTTCGAAACCCTTCCACTGATCTCTGAAAATTGCAATAAATATAAAATTATAAATTCGTACAGATAATAAAAATGACAATCCAAACCTTCAGATTCCGAATGGAAATACTAATTACTGAAAAGCACGAAAGAAACAGCTTATGAAATATATTTAATAGTTACCTACTTCTTTTGTTAAAATACTCATGAGTCTTTGGGGACATTTCAAGTTTGCAATTTACAAACTAGGTCTTTACTCAATATCTATAAATCAATATCTTCGTGGACATGATGAACCTTTTCCAACCCCAACAGATGATTCTTGTTTTATCTCAGGATAATGAACAAAGCACCAGGTTTCATATCTAGTCATAATCTGTTTGCAAAAGTCAAAATAAGCAATCGCCATTTGGATTATTCTTGCTAGTCAGCTTTGAAATTCATGACGGCTAATATTGATTGGATTGAAGCAATTAACTGCATAGAAAGGTGTGCCTAAGTAAGCAGTATTTTAGGAAATACCAATGTATGGGATATTATTGTATTACAATGATATCTCAAATTGATTTAGAATTTAAATAACAAAAATCAGCGTTATATTTGCGAATCTTCACAGAACTAGTTTCGATGGTTTTACGGAACCATCATCCTCAGCTGCAAAACTGCAAATGAACGAGATACGATATAGTGATTAGATAAGACAAGAACAGCTGGACAAGAGTTAAGCTACTGGCGCCATCTGTTGATGAAACGAGAGCTAAAACATAATTTCCTTAAATGCTGAAGGCAAAGATTAATTGGAATTACAACAGAAACTAGAACTGTTAACTAGAACAGAAAGAGTTTTTTTGGAATGTGAAACGCCTCTAGAAAATTGTTGATACTCCTCTAGAGTTGATATCTCATATCCTGACTGCTGTTACCGCTGAAGTTTATGCTATGTTTCGCTATGTTGAAGTTTTCCGGAATTGATTAAAGAATAGAATTAATCCCCAAACTTTGTAGATGCACTATGTACCTTAGAAAATGTTTCACTTAAAGCTACAAAATTAGAATTATTTGTTTGTTTGAAAATACTGAAGCCAAGACTCGGCGTAAGTTAGTTTAATTTCTAGAACTACTTTCGAAGGTTTGGATACCAGATATTTCATGCCTGCTAATAAAGAAGATTCTACTCAAATCTTTTAAACCAGTCCCGCAAATGTACCTATCTTACGCTAATTGGTGGTGCTTCAGTATCTTCAATACTTATTCTTCAGCGTGTTATTTTAGTTAATCCATTAACTGTATGTAGAGAGAAAATGTCGTCACGCAGAGCCGACTTACCTGGGCGTTATCCATGAATCTCCGAGACTGTGCCACAAGTCGCTTTCTTTAGACGTGCAACAATTCATGAGCAGCTCGATGGCGTCTCTCGTCAGAAGGGGGGCCAAAACGCGAGAGGCCAGTGTCGAGCTGTAGTTGGAGTCCTTGGCTGCATCCACAATCAGTGCCAAAGGCGTGAAAAGAAAGTGGACGAGTTCTGGAGCATTGGGATCATGTATGTGACTTTTCAGTTTTGCCTGTGAAAACACGAAACAAATATAACAAATGCATTTGAAGATTGGATTGGTCTTTACAAATCATACACCTAATCTCTACATATAATAAAAGAAGGAATCTGTCTGTGTGTGTGTCTTTCGTTCGCACAGCGCGTAAGCTAATAGACCCACGGCTACGAAATTTGGTACATAGGTGCATCTAGACAAGAGCCAGTGCACCTCGAATTGATTTTTTTTCGAAATTCGAATTTTTTTTATTTTATGTTTTGTGACGAAATCGCGGCATTTTGAGACATAACGGGCTTATAGAAAAGTGAGATTTCACTTTACACACTCCATTTTCACATCGTCATGAAACATAGGCATTTAGCTATTTTAAGAACTTAAAATAAATTTCGTGTTTCAATAAATCGATTATATATGAATTTATTTAACAAAGTGAGCTTAACACCTTTTTATATTTTTCTTTGATTTTTGGACACGTTAAACTTTCATCCTTGCGACTGCTTTTACATAAAGAATTTCGGGAAAAATGATAATATCTTGTATTTTTAAAAAAAATTTTAAATGAAGCTTCCGAGTACACTTCTCACATCTTTAAAAATGTGATTTTGGCAACAATTTTCCTTTCTTATTTTTGATGAAATTGCATCATTTTGAATAGTTTCATTCTTTTAGAAATATGGATTTGGCAACAATTTTTCATCGTATTTCTTATGTCACTGTTTTTAAGAGATTGTCATATTTCGATGTTATTTTTTTATATATATAATACATTTTTATTGATTTTTTTTTTAAATGTTGTTCTGCAGAGTAAAATTCTGCGTGGAATTTCTTGTTTTTTGAGTTTCTTTCATGTCATATTTAATAAATAAAGGTAACACACTAAACGCTAAAAACCGCCCCTTTGGACGTAATTTAAAATCTGAAACCTTTCAGATTTTTTTTAGTCCAAAGGGGCTTTGTCCCTAAAAGACTAAAGGACTTTTTTTTTTTTTTAATGAAGTTGTTCTGCAGAGTAAAATTCTGCGCAGTTTTTAAATTTAACGTTTGTTGTTCCCTTCAGGCATTTTCTGGTACTTTAAAAGTCAGACGAAGGCTGGCAGCTTAGATGCTAGTTTAATTATAAAAGCAGAAATGTGCCAGTGTAACTTTAGAATTCTCAATCGAATGTTAAGTGTCGTTATACCTATTTTCATTTTCATATTCACTATACTATTTCTTTAAATATAACACATGGTGGTAACATTTGGTGGCAACATCCTCCTATTTCAAAAGTGATACGGACAAAAACATGATGATTTGAGACTAAGAGCATTTCCGGTGCTTAAAAGAAATCTCACTTGGACGACAAATGACTTCCTTGTAGGGTCTATTAAATTATACAAATTTTTTGCTGCACTTCATTTAAGCTTACTTTCTCGAATTTCATTAGAGATATATTTCTAATTCAATCAATTCAGCAGCAAGACGAAAATACGTAAAAACTCAAAACATCTTCTTTAGAAATGGTAAAATAAAATTTAAAAACAAAAACCTAAACCACTAAATACAGTTAAAAAGAGATTTTTACAATTATAATTCGAGTTTATTCGCCAAAAACAATCAGTTCGGCCAACAGAAGGAAGACAATACTTTCGATGCTTAAACTTGAAAGTTAATGTTTAGTCCCACTGAGCAAAAATGACATTGAAGTTCGTGCAGCAACTGATTTAACTCTCTATTCTCTAAAAGTATCATATATAAGCAAATGGCGGCCTCATCAGGCCTAGCGCCACTTTAAAATTTTTCATAATTCTATAATTATTGCATGCAGATTAATTAAAGCCACATAAACTGTAATCGGAACATGACAAAAACATAATTCATTCACTTTTAAAGCAAAAAAAATGCAAAATTTACCACCATATATAAACAAAATCACAGAGCTCACCCAGACAGGTAATACAGTGAGTATACAGTATACATATATATATATATATATATATTTGGTGCCCCCGATTTCAAAATACAAAAGGAGGTGTGCACTACATATTATAGCAGTCTCATCAACAAAATTTCAATGTTCTACTGCTACTCGTTTTTGAGTTGCAAGATACAAATGTACAGAAGTCACGAACAAATCACAATCCATTTTGAAAAAATACAGATATCACTCAAAAACATGGTTCAAATGGATTCGACAGCAGTCAAAATGGATATTTCCGTTGAAAATGATAAATTTTTCCCCGATTACAATAATTCCTTTACTTCGTACCATTTATTAGTTCACTCACTCATGCAAATATTTAAAAATCTGATGTATACACCACATGATTTCCTTGTCCGGAATATTAAATTATATGCATTTTTTCTTGCATTTCATTTAAACTTATTGGATTGAATTAAATCTACTTCGTCCATAGCACATAAACCACAACAGAATAAATGCACTCTTTAAAATTCACTATATCTGTTTACCATAGTGACACTCTGGCGCTAGGTTCACTTAACAGCATTATATCTCATTCATTTTACAACTCAGAATGCATAAAATTTATATCATCTGAAGAATTATCTAAGTGTTGCCACATGTTCTATTAAAATACTATGATAAATCTAAAATGATGTATAAAAGAAATTAAACAAATAAAAAATAAAGATGATTTCCTCAGACGATTCAGTATTTCTCATTCAATTAACTCAGTTCTCACTTCGTGACAAGACAAAAATACATAGAAATATCTATATTTAAAATTACGAAGTAAATCTTAGACACTCATTTCCTCCAATAAATTCGAAAATGGATTAATCATGATTTCATTCGCAATAATAAAAGAAGGCCTTATCTTTGTTGTTGTGAAGCTTAGTTTCTCTAGATTGGCAACAAATCCACTATTCTGCTTAAGTTTCAAATGTAAGCAAACAGAGCTGCTATAGGCTTAGCTGCAAGTAAACATCTTTTAAATTGTTGGTAATTCTACAAATACTGTATGCGGATTTACTAAAGGCATGAAAAACCTTTATAAGGTATAGCTCCCTCCTTCCTAGCGTGCCTTCATGGTGTAGTGGTACTGGATGTTGGGCCGGTATCCAGAGGTCTGTGGTTCGATTCCCGGTGAAGGCGATTGCTCACTTTTCAATCTCTCTTGCTTTCAACAAAAAACCTAATGTCTCTACAGTGGCGCCCGAACTAAAAGGGTGTTGGATGAAGATTCTCCACACCCAGGATTTGGCGATTGGGTCCCCTAAAAACCCCAGTCACCCTTTAAAAGGGGGAGTATATAAGGTATTTCTTCCGCCTTCCTAGCGTGCCTTTGTAGTGGTTCTGCACGCTGGGCTGGTATCCAGGGGTCCGAGGTTCGATTCCTGGCGAAGGCGACTGCTCATTTTTCATCTTGCCTGCTTCCAAAAAATACCTAATGTCTCTACACCTTAACCGAATGATAAGAACAACATAAATCAATCATTTTTAAAGCAAAAAATGCACAATTAAAAAACATATAAGAATAAGAAACTGAGATCACTGAGCCGAGTGACAGAGTGGATATATATACACACACTCATATATATTTGTAAACTTTTGTGCGGCCGATTGCAACCAAAATAGGAGGCTCATATCTATATGTTATAGCAGTCCTGTATACAAATTTCAATGTTCTGAGGCTATTCGTTTTTGAGTTTTGCATAATACATACATACGTAAGTACGTACGCACAGACGCCCCGAAAAATTCTCTTCAGAATTCATTTTAAATAAGTTTTAAATTTTTGGCGGGAAAACGAGTCCTTTATTCTGTCCTTATGTACAGATGTCACGCAAAAACATCGTTAAATTGCATTCGATAGCGGTCAAAATGGATATTTTCGTTGAAATACGATACCCAAAATTTTTTGAGATTACAATACTTCCTTTTTAGTTTGTACAATCAAGTAAAAAGATCATGGATTAGAAATCGAATAAGTTATATCAAATAGATATTTTATTAAAACATCAAAATAAAATGAACAGTATATAGATTACTCTAATCAGTATGATGATTGTAAAGGAAAACTAAAATAAAAAAATCTTAAAAATTAATGAATTTAAAAATTTATTAAAAAAGTAATTACGCGTTATTGCCGCAAAAATAAAATTTAATTTAATAGATTGAATAATATATAAATGAAAATTAAGTCGTATGAAATGTGAAATTTAGATAACAAATGTGTCTCAATTTCACATGAATACAGAAACAGTTTTAAAATAGCAGTACAATGGACTTTCCGAAACTTTAACTAGAGTAAAGCTTAGCGTCTCAAGCTTGTTGCTATAGCAGGCATTTTGAATTCTCCTTGGGTTAGTGTAAAATGTGAGTAAAGTTTAAAATTAATTTTGGCCTAGTAATATGTAAAATTGCTTGTTTATTTGACTTTTGTTTGTGTAGTTCCCTCTTTTCATTTGCATTTTTTTAAATTTCATTTTGTCACATATTTTTCCTTATTTTTTAGTTTTAAAAAAATAAGTATTGCTCTGTATGACTACTATATTTATTTTTGAAATGAAATGCAATTAATTCTCTATCCACGCATCTGAAAATTATTTCACATATCTGAATTTTTAAGATTTAAATAATGAATTAGTTGTAAAATTAAATAGAAATTCAAAATTAGAATAGGGATTTTGTTCAGATATGCGAAATGATGAAACGCAAGTCTCATGAATTGTCGATGGTTGTGTGGAGAGGTTCCAGTTATCCTTGTTAAATTTGGATCTTTCTTTGGAATCAGAAATAATTATCTTGTTTTGTTCTTTAGTTTTGCATTTTAATTAACAATTCCAGTTTAATTATTTACAAATTCCAATTAATAATTTTCACAATAGTACACATTCGTTATCTAAATGTCACTTCACAGGAGATTAATTTTATGTATAGTCCCTCTTTCTCTCTTATATATACACTAGCATGCAAATAAAAATTAAAGATCCTTGTGAAGATATGGATATGGCAATCTGTGAACATGAACCGTTGGCGAGAAAAGCCTTCATTTAGCGATTTCTCGCATTTAACAAGAAAGCGGTTTTTTCCATTCATGTGTGTGTGTTGTTGTTGTTAACTGGAAACTACCGATCGATGTATACAAAACATGCGATTGAATGATAAAAAAAGAAATATAAAATTCTGTTAAAAACCGCTAATTTTTCACTTTCTTAAAGTTTTTAGGTTTAGTTTATTATGGCAAAGCACACTAGGGCTCTCTGCTTAAGAGCAGGGATGTCTTCGTGGAGGACTTAAGGAAAACTGGCTCGTATACTGCCTGCGAGAAGAACAGCTCCCGCCACAGGTGGGTGGTAGTCGTTTTAGCAACAGGGCTAGTATATTTCAAATAGGGGTGAACCAAGGGTTGCTTTATTGTTATTTTGTTTTTGGCGACTGTTGGCTGAGAGGAAAAGAGTTTATCATTCGTCTTCAAGACACCCCTACGTAAAATGGGTCAAGGCTCGTTTCTACGGCAACAAACAACTGCAGACTAACTGGCGAGAGCTTATCTTATGATAAACAGACTGTACATGTTACACGTGGGGAAAACTACGAAAATGCCAATGCTACCAGCCCTGTTCGTATGGGATTCGAACCCAGGCGGAACTACCAGTTTTCAGCGATTTTACCGATCGGCCTACACTTTTTTCAGACTGAAAAACCAAAAATTTTCTTCTGATTTCGAATATCTGTTTTCAAGTATTTATACCCACAATTTGTTCTCATGTATTCATTTGATAAAAAAAAATAATTCTGCAATTTGAAAAATTTATTTAAAAAAATTTTATGCGCAATTTTGTGAAAAGAGTAACATTAAGAAACATGCACAAATATGCATAGCCAATATCTATTAGTCTGTAACAAATATTTTATATTTTAATTAAAGTATGCTTACCAAGAGGTTAAAAGATAATTTGAACTTCTGAAGAATATCAACAAATTCCCGCTCTAACGGAGGTTTAGCACGGATGCTGAGCATTCCATCTGAAAATAAAATTATTTTACTTCAGAAAAATGAATCTAATATCAAAAGATTTCATACTTAAATGAAAATGTTTCTTAGAATTTTAAGACATTTAACTGTGCATAAAAAGTTCATGGAATTGTAATTAAATCTTTGAACTGTATGGGACAAACTGCTTTCACACTTAAAGAATTTCATAATACACCAGAATTCGCATTAAACCATTTTCAACCCTATGAAACGAAACTTGTTTTAAGCGCTTGTAAAAATAATAATGCTGCAGAATCCTGATTAAATCATTTTAAATATGCATAATACAATTCTTTTCAAAGCCGGCAAATGTACATAATATAAACCAGTAGAAATAGAAGAAATGGGGTTTACCACTAGCTGACAAGCTAGCCAGGATGTAGCTGATAAAGAATTGGTGTTTTAACACTAACTATAGAGAGGGGGAAAAAATGGTATTTAACCTTAAATGGGAAATTCGCTAGACAAATAGCTAATAAAGAAAAATGACTGATTTACAAACTTCCCCGTAAGTTATTATTAACTGAGAGCGAAAGAATTGCGATAATTAAATCAACCATCACTAACTGAACTACGAAAACAATGACTGGATAAACTATATCTTAATTATTAAAATATTTAAAGTAAAATATACTTACCACCCATATCTTTCTTCTTATTTTTTCGACTCTTCTGGCGCCTCTCAAGTTCTTTAAAGGCCGCGGCAGCATGCTGTAGCCTGGCTATGAATCTTTCAATGTCATCGAAGCAATGGTTTAAAATTGCCTGCAAACATATTTTAAGATTAAGTTTAATAAAATACGCTATTTCTAGATGCCCAACTGGAATCCCGGAGAAGGCATCGATGTTTGTAAATGTATAGTGTCTGTGCGGCATGGGGGCACTCAAAATATGCGGCGAGCGGAAAGTTTTCTCAGGATGCTGGTGGTAGGGGAAAAGAGTGGGAGACCCTGGGATCCGTCCGGGGGTGTTCTTCAAAACTAAAGGTGTAACTGAGTCATACTGTTACTTATATGGTGCCCAAGGCTCTTGACAATAACAGGTGATGATGAATTTCTAGGGCTTGCTCTGATTTCAGACAAGCGATATTAGTCACAACAACAGTTTCTCAGGTTAAATCCTTTCTGCAACTCTAGTGTTTCTCCTATTCCACCAAAGCAAGTATTCCAGTTGAGCAGTTTTTAATAACCCAGTAGAGTAATATTAAGCAATCAAGAAAACTATTTTTTAGTAATCAAGGAAGATAATTTTTAATAATCAAGTCCAATAATTTTTATCAATCAATAAAATTGTTTCTTAGTAATGATGCCGAGTAAATTTTAGAATCCTGTAAAGTAATGTTTAACAATCCAATAATTTTTAGCATTAAAAAATGCTTTTTAGAAATCAAATACAATAAATGTAATAACCAAGTTAGGTAATTTTTTGAAATCAAGAGTATCTTTTAGTAATCAAGCATAATAATTTTTAATAATCAAGTGGAAATTTTTAGATATCAAGAAGAGTACATTTTTCTATTCATCAAGATAATTCTTGATAATCAAGTCCAATAACTTTTGGAGATCAAGACAAGCGGTTCATAGTAATCAAGTCGAGTAGTTTTTATAATCCACCAAAGTATTTTTTAGCATTAAAATGTTTTTTAGTAATCAAGCACAATAAGTTTAATAACGAAGTTAGGTAATTTTTTGCAATCAAACGTATTTTTTAGTAATCAAGCATAATAATTTTTAATAATCAAGTGAAGAAATTTTTAGATATCAAAAAGTGTACTTTTTAGTAATTAAGCAAAATAATTCTCAATAATGAAGTCCAATAATTTTTAGAAACTAAGAAGAGCAATTTTTAATAATTGAATAATTTTTAAAATCCATTAAAGTAATTTTAACAGTTGAGTAATATTTAGCAACCAAGAAGATAATTTTAGTAATCAATAACAATAAGTTTTAATAATAAATTCCAGTAATTATTAGCAATGAAGAAGAGTGGTTCTCAGTAATCAAATTAAATAATTTTCAGAATCCAGTCAAGTAATTTTCAGCAATGAAGAAGCTTACCTTTTAGTAATCCATCCAAAAAAATATTTAATGTTCAATATGAGTAATTTTTAGCAATGAAGAAGAGTACGTTTCAGTAATCAAGCACAACAATTTTTAATAATTAAAGTCCAGCAATTTTTAGCAATCAAGAACATTACTTTTTAGTTATCAAGAACGATAATCTTCAATAATACAGTTCAGTTATGCTCAGCAATCAAAAAGAGTGATTTTTAGCAATCAGGTCGGGTAATTTTTAGTAACCCCGAAAAGTATTTTTAATAAGGTGTAAAGTAATCAAGAAAAGAGGCTTTTAGTAATCAAGTACAGCCATTTTTAACAATCTAGTAATTTTTAGCAATCAGGAAGAGTATTTTTAAGTACTTACCACATCTCGTTCGTATTTCTCACTACTAGTGGAACTCGTCTCATCATTTGAATCTCTTCCATAACTCGTATCTCTTTCTAACCTATTATGCATAGTTTCCATTTTGGAATGATACCCGGAAGATGAAACCCTTTGAATAATTCCATCTGCACAAATCGACAACATTCCATTTAAAAACAACTAATCAAATATAAATTAAGCAAACATTACAAACATTTATATTCACACCGCATTTTAGCATATTGTAAAAGTTTAAAAAAAAGTATGCCACCTAAATGTTTTTGGACAACATTTCATATTGTTCTCAGTAGTATCTGATAATTACGATTATTAGTTATGGTAAAAAATTCCCATAATTGTGCACATTTGCATGCATTTTAATTAAAATCAAAGAAGTTAAAGAAAGGGAAGGTAATTTTTAATTAGAAATGATATGAAAATCGCTCTTTATAAAGTGTTCCATCTTTTGTTAAAAATAAATGGTATGGAATATATTGTTGTAAATATACTCAAATATTTCTGCTTTTTATTATTATTATTTTTCTACACTTTTACAATGTTATGTATTGTTTTAATTTATTTTATGTAATAATTTTACTGAGTATTTGTATTTAATCGAATTTTTGGCCACTTATGCTTCTCACTGTTTATTTAGCAAGTTGTGTCGTGGATCCTGTGATTTTGATTCGATCGGCGTTTGAATTGCAAGAATGGCTCAATTAGAGGCTGAGATGTGGGAGAAGACTCTCCTGTCTAGTCCTGGCGACATTTCATGATTTCTCAGCAATTTGGCAAAATTCTAGAAGTTTCTGACAAACGCATTTTTGAAGCTCTAACAAAGATTTCTTCTGAAACTTCAAGAAATGTTTGATCAACTCTGTAAGTGACAAGTGCTTGAAGCCATCAGTATTTAGTTCTACACGTTCAGGGATTTAGTCGCGAATTATGCAACTAATTAAACATAAGAATGATTTTTAGTGATCTGCGATTTTCCTTGCATTTTAAACAGATTATGCCTAATCTCTCTTTTCCTCCTTCAGCTATTTATAATTGTTTACTTGGCTCAATAAGCTACAATTTATTTCAATAAAGTGTTGATTTCTTCCTGTTAATCTGCATAGTAATTAAAAAGATCTCTACGAATTTGTATCGCACAAGAAGTAATACTGACGCGATAATCCCAACACATTTTTAAATCCTCTAGAACAAAATATTAATGAATCACAACTTCTGAAAAAGAAGCTTTAATTTCACACATGAAAAGTTAACGTTCAGGATGACAGAATATCAATCAGTACATCACAGATCCAGTAAGAGCAGCTTTAATCATTAAATGTTTTACTCAAGAGAAGATAACTGGTTGGATACTTACCTCCTTTAGGAGGAGAAGCTGCAGCAGCTGCTACAGCATTAAACAAATTGACTTGTTCCCTGACACTGACTCCGTTTATGGGGGGCTCTGGAGGTGGGTTGGCAGGGGGAGGTGGAAGATGATGTCCGTTCTCTTTAGGACTATTAGTTAAAGAAAAAAATTACAATCGATATATATACCATATGTTCCATAAATTTAGACGCATTCTGAAGAAGCATATATAACAAAAAAAAATGATTATAATCTGTTTAAATCTATTACAATATCTTTTTAATTTGCTAATATTCTGTAATCTCAAAATTTCAGCCTACACAGCAGAAGTCTTGCTTAAATGGCCATTTGTTATCACGACAATTCCATAAAAAAAGAGGAGAAAGAGTCCTCATTTGGTTAGAAAAAACTGAATTTATTATTTAAGTTTGTGAATTTAAAACTGAATTTATTATTTAAGTTTGTGATTTATGGTTACGTGATTATTATGTGATTTTAAATTTATTGTTATTTCTGTTTAAACCTACTACAACATGATTTTTTTCAATTTGTGGCCAACACAGAAGACGCATACTTAAATGGTCGTTTTAGACCATTCCATTAAAAAAAGGTATAATGTGACTTTCTTTTCCATTAAAAAAAGGTCTACTGCTAAATTATACCCGTTGTTTGCTGTACTGCAATTAAACTTATTTCCTCGAATTATTCTAACGTCATTAACCGATCCTTCAAACGACATCAAAAAATTCAAATTAAACATTAATTTTATTTCATTTTGAACTCATTTTCAATTCAATTTTAATTCATTTGAAATTAAATATCCTGGTCAATTTTTGTAAGGGAGCGAAATTTCTTATAATATTATGTTTTCACAACATGCATAAAACTTATGAGACCGGAAGATCGAATTAAAAATTAAATTTCTTTATTTGTCCAAAATTAATTTTTTTTTAAATTTGGCATTGTCAAAACAGAAGTATTTTCGTCATTTAAAACACTTCTGTAATTGGAAGTATATAACTGCGACCAGCAATTGCAAAAATAAAGGCACAGTAAAGAACTTTTAAGCTGTGTAAGGGGAGTGGATATACACTTTTGGTACTGCCGCTTGCAATAACAAGGAAGGTGCACAACTAGATGTTATAGCAGTCCCATATACAGAATTTCAGCATTCTAGAGCTAATAATTTAAAAAATACATATGTTGTGCCAGATACATACGAACGTACATAGAGACGTCACAAAAAAATCAGTTTTGAATCCATTTTACAACTCGTTTTGAATAAAAAAAAATCTCTTATTCTGTATGTATGTACAGATGTTACACAAAAGAATATTCAAAGATTCGGGAACGGTTTCAATGGAGCTAGTAAATAGTTTTTCTTCTATAAAGAATTATCTAAAGAAATTACAGTGGTACTTCGGTATACATTATTAATTCCTTCGAAATAAAGAAAAAAAAATTTATTTGTTCTCTTAAAAAAGTCCTAGTGTTATTGTAACACTGTTTAGTACTAAAATAGAAATGCAGTGCGTGAAATATGCACTATACACAAATGCAGCACTTCAAATAATATTGTACATATATGTTTTTCTCCTATCCAGATCAATAGTATTTTTCTGCATGCTCTAAGGTTTCTGATCTTTCTTAGGCAATCCGTTTGATATCCTTTGCAGTGTTAGCCGATTTAATAGCGCCCTTCTTGTTCATACTTCTAGACACCATCGTACACGGTATGCAAAATTCCTGCATACTCATGCCACTTCCATACTTCTCAACAAACTCTTTTTTCACCTCCATGGTGATCCTAACAATTTTCTTCATTGTTTGACGCTTCTCATTAACTTTCCCAAACTCATTTTTAAGGAGTTTACAAACCAATTTCGCGAAAAACACAAAATTGTTGTATACCAAACAAAAATTTCGTGTCCAAGTAGGAGGTATAGTGAGTTGGACGTATTTTAAAGCAGACGTGTGGCGAGGCAACACTGTATCTGTATTTTATAAGGAATGATCAGTCTCCCACGTGCATATTCTCATCTGCAAGCAAACTCAGCAAACTGTAAGTGTGAATTTTATTTTAATTTTAAAGCTGAGTTTTGCATCTTCACGGCACGTTATGCGCAACATAAAGGAGCAAACAAAAAAGAAAATGATGAGGAAAAGCACTTTTTTACACCTACCCTGGCTTCCATTTTCCACTAATAAACATTTTCATTTCATTAACAACTTCTTGAGCCTAGGAAATAAACACAACACAGAAATTAATAAAAAATTACGACAACTCTAAAATAACAAATCAAATTATAATGTAATATTTAAATACATGATTAAAAAAATCGTACGTTTTTTATCACTGGCTTTTTCTTGTCTGATAATCTCCTTTTTACTTCCAGGTTAGTTACTGCACTTTTTTTATATTATAAATAAACATGTGAATGCTAAACCAGTTTACTGCGGTAAATCTGTTTCTAAGAACTCTGTTGGTATAACTTTATACTGTTGAAAATAACTTTTATTTGTGATTATATTTCCCATTTGTATTTTACAACATGTGTGGCAACACGCTTTTTATATTTTTCTCTTGGCAACGTTTTTTTAGTTGTTGTCACTGTTTTACTTTACCATGTAGAATTTACTGTACTTGTGCCATTTTGTGTTTCAATATATGTTAATTTAGATGAATCTCTGCTTATTTATTTATCTCCATTCCACACGTTAGACTTCATCAGGTCATGGGCCCAGCATGATATAACTGTGCGGGGAAATTTATGAGCGAAGTGGAGATAAACATTACCGGCAGTTCGTAAGCCTAACACGGCAGTTCTTAAGCCTTATGTGAGTCAGCAAATTAGTTCCCAAAAATGGAAGCTGCAAAGATATTGGTTCAGCCGTTATGCGGAAAAAGTGATTGGCCTATTTGGAAATATAGAATTAAGTTCGTATTAATTATCACGAACAATGCTTTAGAAGTCGTGGAAGGAAAACTGAAGAAGCCAGAGGAGCCTGATCATGCGGCCGCCGAAGAGAGTCGAAATAGATTTAGAGATGATATGAAGGTTTTTAATAAAGCAAATAATTGCAGCTACATTTAAAATCAAGGACTTCGGAGAAATACATCACTTTCTTTCAATTAGGATAAGCAGAAGGGAAGATAGCTGTGTGACTCTTGACCAAAGTGTCTATGCTAGTGAACTCTTGGAAACAACCAATATGCAAGATGCTAAAGGAGCATCAACACCATTAGATCCAGGTATGAAATATACAACAGCCACTAAGGATAACATGTTGAATGCTGAAGGAGCATTAAAATATAGGCAGGCTGTTGGAGGGCTCTTGTACCTAGCAGGAGGAAACAAGGCCAGATTTAGCTTTTGCTACTACTTACATGAGCCAATTCAATAATTGCCCAAGCAAGGAACATTGGGCTGGTGTACAGCATAATCCTTCGTTACCTAAAACAGACCAAGGAATTAAAGCTGACTTTCCAAAAGACAGGAAAGAATTTGGAAGTGTTTTGTGATTCTGATTGGGCTAGTGATAAGATTGACAGACGATCATTTAGTGGTTATGTGGTGCTACTAGCAGGTGGAGCTGTCTCATGGAGCAGTAAGAAACAACAGATGACTGCATTGTCAACAGTTGAAGCTGAGTACCTCTCAATGTGCCACGCAGCCAAGGAAGTACTGTGGTTCCAAAATTTCTTTAAAGAAATTGTGGGAGAACATTTTTTAAACCTTCCACAAAGCATATAATCAGGGTGTCATTTCTTTAGCCAAAAACCATGTCACTTCAGAGCGTAACAAACATATTGAACTCAGGCATTTTTTCTTGATAAGAAAAGGTTGAAGAAGAAGTTGTGTTGAACTTTACCTATGTGCCTTCCAGTTCAAGATGCAGCAGACATATTGACAAAGAGTGTGCAAAAGAAAGCCTTATTCAATCAAAGGTTCTGTGTAGGACTGAGGGAAATTTAATCAAGGGGGAGTGTTGCAAATAACATTTAATTTGTGATTATATTTCCCATTTGTATTTTACAACATGTGTGGCAACACGCTTTTTTATTTTTTCTCTTGGCAACGTTTTTTTTTTTTTAGTTGTTGTTGTCACTGTTTTACTTTACCATGTAGAATTTACTGTGCATACTAATGTTTTTGTATTGCTTCAATATATGTTAATTTAGATGAATCTCTGCTTATTTATTTATCTCCATTCCTAACGTTAGACTTCATTGTATACAATATACTTAACATTGTTATTATGATTATTGTAAATTATATTACATAATTATACAGTTTACAGCCTAAATCAAATAATAATATCTACATCTATATCTATCTACCTATATCTACCTATATATAGACATATATCTAACTATATATGTGTTACCGTCAAAGTATGAAAGGCCGGCATTCCATAACAGGCCTTGGCATTGTACATAAAGCTGAAAATTTTTAGGCAAAATATGAGAATTATTACACACTTTCTAGAGAATGACAAATGCTCTTTAGGCAAAGTATGAAAGAAAGATAAGGCTGGAGATTGAACCCAGGACCTGTGCTGCTGCTGCGCAACGCGTTAGCCACTGCGCCATCGGGCCTTAATAGAAGTAAGGAAGGAGCATTTTCAGGCATTCCAAAATCATAATGAATAGCAATGTATATGGTAATGCCTGAAAATACTCAAGGCAGAATCTGCGGGAAATAATGCGATAATAATGATGAATAGATTGATAATAATGCGCGAAGATCATAGTTGCAGCTGGATGGTGAAACAGAAATGGTCGCGCCCATGCCATGTCTTTTAATTAGCATATTATGACAAGAACAGAGCCATCTATTGATAAATTGTGAAAATTTTTTTCCTTCCACCACACAAATTCCCATTGCTTTATGTATACTAAACTCAAATTTCAGGGCTTTCTAACCAGCGGTTCTCAAATGCTCACATACAGGGCGTAAGAGAATCTATGCTGATGATAGAACATGGAAATAAGAATGTGCAATTTTTGTAATACACTGTGTGGTGAATGTGAAACATGAAAGCGAAAACAACACAGTAAATATGAAGAACACGGAAAACAAAAACTGGTTTTAATCAGGGATATCTGCGAGAAATAATAATTTATGCTTTGTTGGTAAAGAAGCGAACTTGATCTAAATGGAGTACGATTGATCCAAGGAAGATTTTTAAATCCTAATACTTACTCTTAAGACAAACTTTTCAAGTAGAAAATAGTAGAATATAACTTACCGACACACGAGCACACTGGAAAATGTGCATTTCGGGAGGATTGTGATTTTTGTTCTTCGGGTCGTCCTTTACGATAAAAACAACAATATTATTGTACAGTTCTCGAGGATCGTTGCTGGTGTAGGATGTAGGTTCGCTGATCAAGCTCATAGGAAACCTTTCCACCACATCCTATAAAAAAAAATAATAAATATTTCATGCATGATACGTAATACATTTTAAAAACACGCGAAATATTTTAGAGAAATTTACAGATTTAGAATAAATCAAATTCAGATTAACCAAAGGTGGTTTAACCGTATTGCAGACAATTTAAGCCATGTTAAAGAAATAATTTCCGTTATTGCGGAGCAAATGAAAATTATCATCATAAGTCATCAGCATAAAACAAAATTTTTCATGGAAAACAAAAATAAAAATAAAGAAAGGAAAAAAGGGAAAATAAAAAAGGGGAAAAAAACCATATGAGATAACAACAACGTTAGCAGATATTACAGTATTCAGAGTACTTTTTTAATCCGCAACAGCATGTAATTTAATTGCATATAATGTTATCCGAAATATACAAAAACTGCACAACATTTAAACAAAACTTTAATGACTTCTGTATGCATGTTTAAACTTAAAGACATTGTGTAGGTTCTCTGTAAATAGTGTATTTTCAGGTCATATGTAATTTAGTTTCTTCTTTAGTAAAAAATTACGAAGTGATCCATAAAGCAAATCTGATGTTAACACCACATAAATCTCTTACACGACCTATTAAATTATACACTTCCCTAACCCTGATCTTCATTTAAAATTATTCCTCAAATTATTCAAACTTAATTAACCGATTCCTCAAAGTAAGTCGAAAATGATATCTAAAATAGCAAATTTGAAATTAAATATGCCAGCCTCTCTCTATATATACTACTTTTGTGCTGCCGATGGCAATAAAAAAGCGAGATGTACAACTAAATGTTATAGCAATCCCATAAGCAAAATTCCAACATTCTGCGGCTAATCGTTTTTGAGTTATGCAAGATACAAACGTACATATGTACACTGCATAAAAAAAAGGGGGTAGTTCCATATCTCCCTACTGGGCCTATTGACGAAATTCAAATTGAGTTTTTCATGTCTCAAAAGCGCGACTTAGGATATAAATTAGATTTATATATAGTACTGTTCTAACATAGGTATTTTGACACAAAATCGGACTTTTTCTGAAATAACATAAATTGCTTTTTCCACATTTCGATTCTGCGACTCAAATTACGCCTAAATATTACATTTTGTAAAATTCGGTGCGAAATTTACGGATAAATTCAAAAATTTATCTTGGCGTGTTTTTTCAGTTTGCGCCAAGAATAATTTAATTGGCCAACATTTTAATATATAGTAACCTAGTTTCCTTTCCCTTCCATTGTACAAGAGCGGAAAAAAAAAAGTCACATGGTTTCTACCTTTTTACATTGTGCATGAGCGAAAAAGACACATCGTTCCTACTCTCAAATAATTTTAACAAAGTGCCTAAACCACATTTGATGTTGTTATCGCTTTCAACAAATATGCCAAATTTCAAAACGCGCCAATATATAAATTCATGCATATCTTCGGAAATTTTGAATAAAAAACACTAATTTTTTGCAGGTATGCTTAGAAATACATCTAATTTAATATGATGGTAAAATTATACAGGTTATAATTCAATTTGTTTTCGAAAAATTTATACAAATTATTTAAAACTACAAATTTTAAATGTAAATCATAAAATAATGGGCGAATTTTATTTGGAATGAACCTAAATTTCGAAATGTCAAAGGAAGAATCAAATAAGTTTAATAAAAAAAAGATATATTAATAAATATATACCAAATTCAATTAACATGGAGGAGCCAAAATTTTCAGAGCTAATTTTTTAAAAACTACTCGTGAGATTTTTACAGAAATTGGCTGTTTGGCATAATTTGAATCGTAGAATCGAAATATGGAAAATACATGGCATCTCATTTCACAAAAAGTCGAATTTTGCGTCAGAATACCTATATTAGAATAATGCTATATATAAACCTAATACATAACCTAAGTCGCGCTTTCGACACATGAAAAACGCAAGTTGAATTTCGTTAATCGGCCCAGTAGAACGGGAGATGTAGAAATATCCCCCCCCCCCGCATAATGTACATACAAACATCACGAAAAAGTCCAATTTGAATCCTTTCTACTATCCGTTTTGGAATACAGAGACCTTTATTCCGTACGTAAAGATGACACGCAAAAAATGGTCAGAGGTTATCGGGATTGGTCAAAATGGATAATTCGATTGAAATCCGATAACCAAATTTTTTGCGATTAGATAGATTACTTCCTTTACTTCTTCATATAAAGAAGTAAAAATTAAGTAATAGCTATGGAACGTTATATATTTTAAGAAACACAATGCTCTTCAAATATATTTTTTTCCTAAATCATTGAAGATACATGGCAAATTATTTAAACTGCAGAAAGAAAAAAGACATTCGATATGGAAGACTACATACTCCATTTTCGTTGTCAATGATGACCACCCATTTTTTTTCTAATCGCATTTGCATCTTTTGTGTCCAAATGCCACTGGATTTTTCCATCTGTAGAAGCCGTCGGAGGCCATCTTTGGGAGTAGTTATACCTGAATGTAGAAGTAGTTATACCTCATAATTGCCGATGATTAAAAAAAAAAAAAAAAATAAAAAAAAAAAAAAAAAAAAAAAAAAAAAAAAAAAAAAAAATTTTTGAAAAAAAAAAAAAAAATTAGAAAAAAAATTAAAAAAAAAAAAAAAAAAAAAAAAAACTAAAAAAAAAAAAAAAAAAAAAAAAAAAAAAATAAAAAAAAAAAAAAAAAAAAAAAAAAAAAATAAAAAAAAAAAAAAAAAAAAAAAAAAAAAAAAAAAAAAAAAAAAAACAAAAAAAAAAAAAACAAAAAAAAAAAAAAAAAAAAAAAAAAAAAAAAAAAATTGAAAAAAAAAAAAAAAAAAAACCAAAAAAAAAAAAAAAAAAAAACAAAAAAAAAAAAAAGAAAAAAAAAAAAAAAAAAAAAAAAAAAAAAAAAAAAAAAAAAAAAAAAAAAAAAAATAATTTAAAAAAACTGCAGTACAAGTCTATCCGTTTAGGACGATTCTACATATAAAATTCATAAATTATGCATATTTTCTTTACTTAAAGCACAAAATATAGTCTACAATGGCATAAAATGAGTAGAAAAATAGCATAATATAGCATCAATGAATGTAGCATAATGAATATAACATGTTACATAGCATAAAAAAAATCTACTATCCATTCATATATCTTAACAGCTAGATAATAAGGTTGTTAAACTTTCTTTCTCTTTGTTTGCTGTCTGCTATTATTAGTATTTCGTTTTCCTTAAACTTATTTTCAGTTAGCGGTGTTGTCATTCCGTTAATGGAATTCTTCGCCTAAACTTTTTAAAATATAAGGAAAGGAATTTGATCTAACTTTGATTTAAATACATGTCTTATTTTATTCAAAATTATAACGAATTGCTTCCTCGATGATAAAGCAGATCCATTTTTAAATTTGTTTAATATATTACATTAAAATAATTGTTTCTAAGAATCAATAAAACTTCTCAATCTTTCTTGATGATAAAATAGATCCATTTTTAAATTTGTTTAATTTATTACATTTAAATAATTGTTTCTAAGGGACTGAATTTGCAATCGCACTTGAACAGTAACATCACAAAACATTTAAAAACAGCAAATCTTATCTTTAGAATTTCCGATAGATAGTCACGCGTGGTGGAGATCAAAAAGTTTTTTTCCCGTACAGTGCTGGCTTTGAAAATCGTTGAGTTTGTTAATCAAAATTTCGTTAAAGTTTTACAAAATATGAAATGGATAATACAACAAATTCCAGATGCCTATATTCGAGTGGAGGACTACATTATTCAAAATTTGATGTCTAGGTTCCGTTGTTTCTTCACAATGCGAGAAATATACATACATTCATGCAGATTCTTCATTATTTAATTTCCTTAAATATAATGCAGGGCTGTAATATTTGGTGACATCAATTTGAAATGCCGCTTTACAGTGGACGATGTAAAATGCCAAAACGAAATTAATAGCCCTTCTGGGCAAATTCCCCTTTGGACTAAAAAATAAATAAAATTATTTTTACATATACCATTTCTATGCTCTCACATGAAATTCTGTTAGTGCCCCAATACAATACTTACATTTATTTCTACGATTTTATATTTAGTTGTTTATAACCAAGAATATTGTGATGGGTAAAAAATTGATTTATTGTAACCCAACGGTTTCTAAGCGCGTGGTCACGGCAAGGTAGAGTTAAAAAATGGTAAATGGCAACAGTAACAGAAAGTTTTGAGAAAAAAAAAAAAAAAAAAGATTTTTAGAATAACAGAAATTTGCAAAATATAGAAAGATAAACAGCGTTTTAAATGTTACGGACACTAAAAGATAAAATCAACGTTGGCACAGGAGTTCTGTGGATATTTTATCTCTGACACGATTGGTAATTCTTTCTTTTTATAACGTGAATAATAAAATGTGAAAGCTTTTTAGCAATAATGTTTTCTATTATAATACCAATACACATACCCTCCGGGCAATGTTAATTAAAGGAGAAGAATAAAATATGTAAGAAAATAAAAAAGCTTAGAAATATGGCACTGTAGTTATATTTTACATTTTAATCTAGTTAATTAAAAATGTGTAAGTAAAAAAAGTTTTTATATGCATATTTTATTTTACACATTTGAGTTTACAGACCGGCGGGGGTCAGAGAAGGAAAATTTCAGCCTTCTTTCCTCTGAACACAGGATATCATTTCATCTACTATCAAGCAAAGAACTAAGTACATGATGTCACAAGCTCAAGATATTTTGATCTATCCGATGGCGTAAGATTACATACATTTCATTCAAATTTCTGCATTATTTTTAATCCGATCTCCGAATGAAAAAATTAAATATTTTAATTTAAAAATCCAAAAATCCGTCATTCTTAACAATCACAGGATTACTTGGGGACGGGGGGGGTAGAAATGGTCTTAGAAAAGTTGCCGAAATTCGGTAAATCAAATTAGAAATTCTGAAAAACATTACATACAATGTTTTTATTAACACGTTATTAATTTTTAACTAACTGTAATTTAAAACAAAATATGGGAAGAGCGAAAAGAATTGTATTGGAACGTTAAAAGAATTTTAAAACAAACAACAAACACTTTAGCATAGACATAAAATAGATAAGAACGATTACATTCGATTCATTTACGCTTCCCTTTGACGGTTCTGATTTTAAATCTCCCGTTATTAGAAACCTGAATTTTATTTTTAGTTATGTGATCAAAAACTTTATGACAGCTAAAAAAGTTACTTTCGCATTTTAGTGCATTTAATTAATTACAATAATGTGACCTAGAATGTTTTTTTTTTTTTTTTTTTTTTTTTTTTTTTTTTTTTTAATATATTTTATTTAACACTTCACAATACACAAAAAGCGCACTTACAAAGAAATGAAATCATTGCCTCTGAAAACCAGAAAACTATTCCCTTTAAACAGCAAAGCTACGAAATAAGTGATATAACTTTCGGTCAAGGTCTTTGGCTCTATTCGAAGCTGTAAGAGTACATTCAATTCATTTACATTTTTCTTTGATTTAAGGAACGTCTCATCATCTTTTAAATAAACGGAGATGCTAATACTGATACATTAAATAGTTTCATTTAAAAAATTCTTCGCAATAAAAGTCACATGATAGACTTTAAAAAAATCCATTTTCTTAGAAACCATAAAAATTCGGTAAATTACGTCACAGATTCCAGACTAATTCATATTTTTCTGTCTATTCAATACTGTGCAGAATGAAGTTCTTTGATGATTAATTCAATTGTAAAGTAAAGATACAAGTATACAATACAAAATAAAAAACTCTAATGCGGACACCGCATGACTTCCTCGTAAGCCTATTAAATTACATAATTTTTTGCTGCACTCTAATTAAACTTTTCTCATTTGGATGTGAGATATGACCTTCCAACTCTTTAACAAAATAAACAGTTACACAACTGCTAAAATATTAGCTTTAATTAATATAAAATATTAATACAATTAATTATTCAAATAATATTACCTGAAATATTAGCGTATAGTAAAAGTCTCTTCATTACTCTTTAAATAAATTTAAATCTATTATCAATCTAACACTACGTGTTTTTAAATTATTATGATTTAACATCAACAAAATGTAAACAAAAAACAAAACGCTGGAAAGTTGTTAAATAGCCCAAAAGGGTAGGGTACGAACTGCACCAAATTTGATCGAAGATCCCCGTCCTCCCTCTCACTCATCTAACCCACGAACTGCGCGACGTTTCCTGTCCCCTATTTCTTTCCCAAGAAGATTGGGTGCTACAAAAAGTCATTTATCGCCATTAATGGAACATTCTATTGAGACTGCAAACCTTTATTTTCGTTTATCAATATTGTAAAAATTGTGCATGCAAAACAAATATTAATTTAAAGTCTGGCGTGTGCTAAAGTAAAAAGAAATTTCTTTTACACTCATTTTAAAGTTTTAGGATACTTAAAGGAATGATGAGCCAGATCGTTTTTATTCTCTGTAAGAATTAAAAACTTTCCAAGTTGTATATTTTAGTCGCTGATATATATATATATATATATATAGACCCGTTAACTTTGAAATTTACCATTTTAGGTAAAAAGTTCTAATTTAATTTTAAAAATTCTCTTTATTAAATCTAAAAATTGGATTTCTTAAGTGGTTCTCAATTCACACTAATATTATTGCAATATATTCCCGCATTAAGCTTTCCATTTTTAGTCATGGAAGTTATTTGAAGGTTATTTAACTTTGTAACAAATTCCATATTTTATTACTAGAAACGTTTAAATATTTATTCTGTTTTCCACTTTATGTACTTTGGCATACATTTAATTTCTAATACACATTTAATTAATAAATTAATAATTATGAGCGTCAGCAGAATTTTCATAATTAACAGAAAAAAAAAAAAAAAAAAAACTCAAATTCCTTTATATTCAGATCCTGGGATTTTCAGTTCCCTTTTAATCCATTCCTTTTGCACATATTGTTGCACTGTACTCATGTTTTCATGTATGTAGAATTTATATATTTTGTATTGCATTTATGCCAATTTATATTCAAATGATAATTTTTACGAATTCTTGCATCATAACTCTAGTTAAGAAAAGATATTTCTAACACCTTGGTAAAGCTGAATCTTCAGCATGCAGCTTATTTTCTAACCTACTTTCAGGCTGAATTATTTGCAAAATTAATTACTTGAAACTACATTTCATAACAAAGATGGTCGCTAAATCCGCTAATAATATTTCTAACTGTTGTAATTTATAATGCAACGAGTTCATGTGATTTATAATATAATTTCATTTATAAATTTTTCAGCAGTATTGAAATTAATAGCAGATACTGATAATGTTATACATTTAGATTACAATGATTTAGATTGCCATTGCCTTCTTCACTCATGCTTTTATGTTACATTCCTAATATTTCATAATGGCATACAGGTAAGTTTAACTCATTCATTAAACATGTAAATCTCTAACTCAGCCCACTTTTGTCCTTACGTGTGCTGTATCTTCTATTTTTTATTTTCCTCTTGGCTACAATTGGCTTCGAAAAGTTAAATTGTAACCCTGTAGGCAGCAGGGGAGAAGAAATTTTGATTGGCGCAGTTGAACTGTAGCTCGACCCGGGGGGATTTTCATTAGCGCAGTTGGAATACATCCCCCAAAAGAGGCGTTAGCCCAAATGGGCTATTAGTCTCAAAACGGGATTTTGCGTTGAATCGCTGCAAAACGACGTAACACTTTTCAAGTTGTTGTCACCAAATATTATCGCCCTGTATTATTTTTATAGAAATTAAATAATGAAAAACATGTACGAGTCTTTCTCGCAATGTGAAAAAATGACGGTACCTAGAGCCGGTAACGAATTTTGAATAACGTAGTCCTCTACCCGAACATGTGCACCTGAAAACCCGAATTTTGAATTTCGAATTTAATTTATTATCTATTTCATATTTCGTAAAACTTTAATGAATTTTTCGTAAACAAACTCAACGATTTGAAAGGAATGGATGGATGGAATGGAATGGAAAGAATTTGCAGGGAACAAAACATTTTTAAAACTTATCTAAATTTATCTCTTAAACTTATTTATTAAACTTATCTCCAGAACGAAAGACTCTCTGTCGGAAATTCTAAAGATATATAGTGTGTTAAAATATCTGATGACTTTGCTATTGAATTGAATTTTATAGAGCTTAAGCGATATTTAATAAATAAAGTGAACACACAAGACGTTAATAATAAGAAGACACAATTTTTGTAAGCCATCTTACTAAGAAAACTGAACACTGATATGATGGACAGAGAAAATAGTGAAATTTTTTTTAAAAAGTTCCTATATATGCCAACACCAAACACTGCATCAAGAATTCTAAATTTTGTTAAATTAAACAAAATTTTTGTAATTTTTTCTGTTGAATTATATATGGCGTAAGTGGATGCTTGATAATGAAGCTAAAAAAAGCAAAACAAATGGGTTAGCAAGAGTGAATGCAACAGCAAACTGCAAGCTCAGCGAGAGCTTCAAAAAACTTAAACAAACTCTTTGGGGCGATTGTTAAAATCTGAGGGACTATTGTTTTCGTTTTGCGATTTTGCGTCAAATCACTCTGAATGTCCGTTTCACTTTTCAAACTGTTGCCACCAAATATTATCGCCCTGTATTATATTCGGAGAAATTAAATAATGAAGAATCTGTATAAATGTATGTACGTTTCTCGCATCGTGATAAAACAACGGTACTAGCCATCCATTTATGAATGACGTAATTCTACTGCGAATAAGGGCATCTGAAAGCCGAAAATTTGAAATTTGTTTTACGATTGATTTCATATTTTGTAGAACTTTAAAGAATTTTTGATTAACAAACTCAAGGATTTCTAAGCGAGCTATGGCAACGTTGTACAGAAAAAACTTTTTATTTCCAATGCGTAAGACTGCGTATCGGAAATTTTAAAGATAATACTCTTTAGAATAATCGGATCTAATACTCGATTTAAAATTTTTTTGCGATATTAAGCTGAATTTTATGGTTTAAGCGCGAAGAACATGATATTTAATACGTAAAGGTAACACACAAAATGTTAAAAGGATGTAATTTAAAATCTGAAACCTTTCAGATTTCCTTTCTATTTATTTATTTATTTTAAATTTGCTTTCGTAATATATTTTTACTGGGTTTAAAGACCCGTCCACTAAAGTTCCCTTGGTACTGCGAATTGCAACCGCAAAGAGACAGGTGTACAAATTATAAGAATCCCTAATACAAAATTTTGACGTTTTACAGCAAATCGTTTTGAGTTATGTGGCATACGTACGTATAGACATCACGGCGGAATTAGTCAAAATAGATGCAGGAACAATCAAAATGTATATTTTCTTTACAATCTGAAATCGAAATTTTTCGCGATTACAATACTTCCTTTATTTCATACAAGGAAGGAATAGGTGCATCGAACTTAACAAAATTAAAATATGTACACAATGACATCGCAAAATACGCATATATGCAAAGTTTCAAGAAATCTGGTTCGGTAAATTGGTATGAAAAATTAATTTCAATATTCCATCTAAACAAAACACAGAAATGAAATTTAACTAAAAAAACTGTGTAAAAATAACCATTGCTGAACTACTCACCGTACAGGGGTCCCACAGAAAATGTTGCCAGATGCTCCAACAGGTAAGTAGGATAATTATCGTCTGAATCGGAGATCAGATCTGAAAGAAGAATGGTTTAGAATCAGAGTTGAGCAGTTGCACAAGCCACGCCCATTTTACGGAAAAAATAATAAACAGACAAACAAACGAAAAATAAACACTAAACACGCCGATTGTATAACATCCTGAGGATATATGGTCTCTGGAGATATTCATGTCTTTGTGGCGCAAGTTCTATCCGGTTGCACACATTGTCCAGTCGGTCATCGACGCTTCTTCCCTCTGAGCGTCAGACTTAACGATATTTTAAGCGAATTTTGTCTCCCTGCGTAATTTTTTAAGTAAAGCGGCTGGCAACATTTGAAAATGAAACTCTTGCTTTGCATTCGTCAGTGTTGCCAAATCGAGGTCACTTTTCAAAGAAGTTATAAAATTTAGTGGCGCGACCTTTTTTTCCCTGAACATTAAATGAATTTTTTTCCTGAGTATTAAATGATTTTTTTATCTGAATATTAAATGACTTTTTATGAATATTAAATGAATTTTTTTCTGAATATTAAATGATTTTTTCCTGAATATTAAATGAATTTTTTCCGAATATTAAATGAAAATTTTTCGTTAGCCCGGAAGGGACGTTAATTTCGTTTTGGCATTTTGCGTTGTTTACTATAAATGTCGGTTCGCTTTTCAAATTGTTGTCACCAAATATTAAGAGCCCTGTGTTATATTTAAAGAAATTAAATAATGAAGAATCTGCATAAATGTACTATATATGTTTCTCGCATGGTGATAAAACAACGGTACCTACAGCCATCCAATTTTATATAATGTAATCTTTCATCGAATATGGGCATCTGGAAGCCCGAATTTGGAAGGTGAAATTTGTTTTATTATCTATTTCATATTTTGTAACACTTTAACGAATTTTTGATAAACAAACTCAACGATTTCAAAGAGAGTAATGGCAACACTATACGAAAAAAAAAATTATCTTTAGGGCGCGACACTGTGTATCGGAAATTCTAAAGATATGCTCTTGAGATATTGCTGTTGAACCGAATTTTATGTTTTTAAGTGTGAAGAACATGCTATTTAATAAATAAAGGTAGCACACAAAACGTTATAAAAACACCGCTTTGGCCGTAATGTAAAATCTGAAAGCATTCAGATTTTATTTTTTATTAATTTTTACTATTTTAATTTCTCAGTGTACTCTCAGTCCAAACTATTTTAAATTCCAATGTTTTAAGTCCGAGCTATACGGAATCTTAAAAAAAAAAAAAAAAAAAAAAAAAATTCTGAACCGTCAAGGTACGTTACACTAATTACGCGTAGACTATGAACTCAGGTTAATTACTCTTAGTACTGAGAGAAACAAAGATTTTATTTATCTTTAACGCCACGTTGCACTAAGTAAATTTAGAGTGTTGCCATTTGAAAGAAATTAAAATTTTTACTTTATTTTCCAAACTGAATCAATTCGTGATTGCTTTGTGAAACGAGCGATTTAAAAACCATAAATGCGTTACTCAAAAACTTAAAATTTTATTTTATTTACTTCTCTCAAAGCCAGCTCTCAGAGATTTGTCAATCCCTAAAATATAAGATATTTTTGTATCTGAAATTAAATCAACCTGTAATCGCTTAAAAACGAGAGATTCAGATTTAATAATAAATGTGTGATTACTTAGAATGAAATGAGCTGTTTATAAACAAAAAGCACAATTATTTTGCGAAAAAGCAGCTTTTAGAAGGTTGCAATTACGCAATACATAAAGTTTTTATTTTTTTCCAAATTTATTAAATATGGAATTGCTTATTGAATTGAGCAGTTTTAAAACAATAAATGTACACTGCACGCAAAAAAAAGGGGAGGGGGCAGTTTTATATCTCTTGTTATACTGGGCCGATTGACGAAATTAAAATTGCGTTTCTCATGTCTCGAAAACGCGACTTAGGATATGTATTAGATTTATATATCTGCCTACTCTATGATCATTCACATATACATTTTTTAAAAAATTGTTTAATTTAATTTTAATTTATTAAATTAGTAGATTTATTTTCATGGATAGATTTTACACTTGGTTTACTTATGCTTCTGAATTTAAATGATATTGTAGATTAGTTCGAGAATTAAATCTTTTACATGTTTACATTTTTTTTTAATTATTTTAAATTATTTTGGCTTTTTTCCTTTTTTTTAGAATTTAAATTTGCTTTTCTACTTTTTTACTTTTATACGTATTTGTTTAGAATTTAAATTTGTTTAAAATTAAAATTGTTCTAATATATGTGTTTTGAAACAAAATCGGACTTTTTCTGAAATAACATATAATTTTTTTCCATATTTCGATTCTACGACTTAAATTATGCCAGCCTGCCAAGTTTTGCAAAAATAGCTCGAGTCGTTTTTAAAAAATTAGCTCTCAAATTTTTAGCTCCTCAAGGTTAATTGAATTTGGTATATATTTATTACTATCTTTTTTTTATTCTTCCTTTCATATTTCAAAACTAAGATTCATTCCAAATAGAATTCACCCATTTTATGATTTTATTTTTAAATTTCTATTTTTATATAATTTTTATAAATTTTTCAAAATTTTAAATTATAACCTATAAAATTTTTAATATCATTTTAAAGTAGGTGTAATTTTAAGCATAACTGCAAAAAAATTAGAGATTTTATTCAAAATTTCTAAGATATACACGAATATTTTTTTTTTTTTTTTTTTTTTTTGAGCGATAATAACGCAAAATACGTTAATGGATTTTCTTACAGTTAATTGCCACAGTTATTTTTAACCTTAAATTTCAAGTAAATTTTTATGGAGAATTAATTATATGAAATTTTTTCCTTCAATGAAGTGTAATAAATATTTTATTAATGCTATACAAAAAGCTATTTTTTTAAATTATAGATGATATTATTCAAATTTTTAACTTTTTTAAAAATTTCTTTATTTTTCCCTCTTTTTTTAAAAAATATTTGTAAGAGTAAATTTTTACCTCCGCCGTGTTATCGCCTGCTACTTTATTTTAACTTAACTTAAACTTAATTGTCTAAAACTGAGAAAAGTTCATTTAATGTTTATTTTCACAATGTTTTGTAAGCAAACAAGATGTTGACACATTGGGATCATGTCCCAGCTTAATATATATATATATATATATATATATATATATATAAAATTTACATTAATCCTCTGAAAAAGTTTAAGTTGTAATTTTTTCTCGTGTTGTAAATTATATAAAACGTGTTTTTTAATATAGAAATTAATAGGCTTAAAACTCTAAATAATATGATTTAGATTGTTTGCACCCGATATAAGAATCGGGTTTTTCGGTGGTACAGCATAAGCGCTGCTGAAGTGGTTTATTTCTTTCTCATTTAACAAAAATCTTTTAATTCAAATATTTATAATTTGGACTTAGCTTTAAAACTTTATTTGTAGTTAAAATGCCTAGAAAATGAAAAGCTGTCATCAGCTGAAACGCATTTAATGCAACGGATATTTTAAAAAATTTGACAAGAATGCAAAATTTATGGAAGTGTAACAATCGAAAAATCTTAATTTGCTTGTGTCAGCACTGAAAACAAATATAGAAGGAAAGAAGAAAATTAGGGAGGGGAGCAAAAATTTAAAGAGGAATCTACTTCAAGGAAGTTGGGTGCTCAAAGAGAAAACCCTTGGACGTGTACACCAGCAAACAGCAGCATAAAGCTAACGGAAATGCTAACGGAAAAGACAAAAACGATATCATTGCAGATTAAATTGAAGAGCGACTGGTTTTCGACTATATGGTTGTATAAATTTAAATTACGTTATAGAACATCATATCGTATCATAAACAGAGCATCCCATGATTCCTCAATCGAATTATTTGAAGATACAGGAATTTATCCTGTGACGTATATGGATATCATCTAAAGACGTTTTCCCTTTTTATGAAATCAGTCTTTCCTTTCATCTCATGCCTTCAAAATGTTTAGTCTCTAAAGACTGATAAAGGCTCTGACCAAATACTGATGAAATGGATTGAATTGGATTATTAAGTTACGGCAAAGCAGAGCTAAGAAGGGATGCCTTCGTGAAGAACTTTCTAAGGGAAACCAGTTCGTATACGCGTTACACATGAGAAAATCTATGAAAAGCCCAACCAGCCGGTTCGCCAGGATTCGAGCCCCGGAGCAAACTACCAGTGTTCAGCGACTTTACCGCTCAGCCGTTTGTGGACTCTTTTGAAATGGAAGTCGAAACTGCCTAATCTCTTCTGAAATGGAAGTCGAATAAAATTAACGTCAGAAATACCAAGATGTTTAGAAAAGTTGGATGCTTTTTAATATGCTTGCAGAATGACTGAAGGAAAAAAAAAAAAAAGCCGTTGGGGGGGGGAATTACATAAAATTTATTTTTTAAATTATTATTATTATTATTATTATTATTATTATTTTTTATATAAAACTTTGTTAATCTTATGATATCTGATTCTTGAGATTTCAAAAATAAAATAACGGAACATTGAAAGGAGTGTTAACTGTGCTTTATTGTATTTTCTCTTTTAATATATGTAGTTTTCAAACGCATCGTAGTAAGCAAACCAGCGGACGAGCGGTAAAATCACTGAACACTGGTAGTTCGGTCCGAGGTTCGAATCCCGTGAAATGGGTTGGTTGCATGGGCGTTTTCGTGGTTTTCCCCATGTGTAACGTGTATACGAGCCAGTTGCTCTTAGAAAGTCCTCCACGATGGCATCCCTCCCTTTAGGCTTTGCCATAACTACATACACTTAAACGACTCGTAGTGTGGGCCACAAAGTATTCTTCCGAAAGAAACGCAATTCAAATAAAAATAAAAAAAAAAAATCAAATTCCGGAAAATTTATATTAATAAATATATTTAAAATGCGCAGTTTGAATGAATGAATAGAAAATTTTAAGAATCTGAAGAGACAATGCAACACAAACAAGAAAACTATTTGAAAAAAAAAAAAAAATTAACGATGCACCTTTTATTAGTTTGAACGAGTAAATAGAAATTTTTAAACAGTTATTAGAA